GTGATCCATTTATCAAATTGAAACGATAGTTAAGGTGAAATCTGATGTTAATCTATTCTCACTGGAAGCTCAATGATCAGGGTGAAGAATGAACTGAATGTGAGTATAGTTGAGAAAAGGGAAGCTCATTGAATGGTTGGAATTCAATGGAAAAACTGACAAAAAGGTGAGGTTAAATATCGATGAATGTAATATAATATAAGTGAAGGAGAAGAATCAAAATTAATGAGAATCCTCGGAATTCAATGAACTTTTTTTGCTGTTGTTCTGTTCACCCTGAAGAAATTCAGAGCTCAAAAAGTTCGGAGTAAAAATGAATTCATTTTTATCTTCATTATATATCGTTCTCTAGACGTAAAGGTCATCGATAATGTGGAAGTCAAGATAAATACGAATCACATGATGAAGAGAGGAAAATAGGATTTCCTCTTGTATTCATGTTCTTCCTCATTCTCATCGTTCATACTGAATTGTTATTCATGTCACTGGTCTCCCTGTTTTCCTCAGTCTCTCTCTCTCTCTCACAGTCTTTCATTTTCTCTGAGCCTTTTTCCATGGATAAAATAATTCTCCCTCATCTCTCATTACTGTTTTACTCTTATCATCTCTCTTTTTTTCATATTGATATTCACCATTCTTCCTAATGATAAACATAAATACCATAGATGCATGAATATTTATCATCACCATCGATTCATGGTAATAGTAATAGCATATACATGTACTTGAAATTTAATTCATTTTAATGGATTAACATAAAGACCATCGATATTATTACAGAAATAGATTACCAAAAAAAAAGATATATCAACTTTATCCTTTCCTTCAGGTGTATAAGTCTCTCAACCGATGGTCTTTTCAGTATTGATATTACATGAGGATATAAAATAGTTCATGATCAATCCCCTGAAGTAATCTGAAAGGTGGACAAAATGTATTAGGGAAAAGATCTGCTCAAGGTAAAAAGTTTATCCATAGAGATGAACAACTCAACTTTCATGAGATGATTTTATTACTTTTGGTGTTATTTACATGGAAGAGAAATTGAAAGAAAAAAAAGTTCTATTGGAATTTTTTTAGCTCTCTCTCTCTCTTTCTCTCTATCTTGGCTTCTTAATATTAACATTCTCATTGTCAGAACTTACTGAATTATTCTGGCATTCAGGGTTCTTTTTGTTTGTTTTGTTTCATTTGGATCGAATTTAATTTCTCTGAGTGTAACTGGTTAGAAGTTTAATTATCAATTCCGAAGGGTGATTCATTTCCATGTTATCGATATTCAAATAATCTATGGGTGAAAGATAATAACATGATAACTGTTGACCCAATTCATTCATGGTTGTTTGTATTACCATGTTCATGGCGATTTTGTTGCTTTTTTCTGCTAAATATATCACTGTCATTTCTAGGAAAGGAGGGAATGATAAAATCTCATCATCATTCAACAAAATGAGTGATTACATTGTCCAGATAACGATAATTCTGGGATTGAATTTTTTTTTCTCCTTCTTGTGCTCATTCACTTTCCCTGTTCAGGGTGATTTTCATGATGATCTTTTTTTTCCTTGTTGTTATTTTTGCTCTTCTTTGTCTATACATACACATACACTACTGTTGCTCAGTCCAATTCCAACTGAACTTTCATGTTGATTCATCAATCTTGTATTGTCAGATGATGTAAACTTATCTCATTATAATACAACATTTATGATACAATTCAGTTCATTGCTTGAATAAATTATCACCATTATCAATTGAATTACGATCACAACTATTATCTTCATGAAATTGAATGTAATACAATAACAAACAGGGGAGAGGAAAAAAAAAGTCAACACTGAATTTGACTTATGAACTTTTTGTTCACATTCTCATGCTGACATTTAATTCAATCATTATCATATTTAATTGTTGTAAAATGAATACTGAATAATCAGGTTACCATTGGAATGGATAAATAATTGAATGATATATATACAAATTTGTTTACCTCTCATGTACATACATTTGAATTGAATTGAATTTTGTTAATAATGAATGAGGAAAATTGTTCAATCGTTTCATGATGATGATTCCAATTTTAAATTGCAACAAATTAAATTAAATTACTGATTGTATGTTGTTAGACGATTGTGACAATTTAACTCTAATTTCAAAGGGGATTTTTAATGTCAGCATTAAATGGCATTTAATTGTATTATTATAATAACAATCTAATAATAAAATAACAATAAGAAAATTGTTCTGATAATCTGATAACAGAATTAGAAAAAAAAAGATTCTGATAAAAGTTAATCAAAAGTTGAAATAAAAATTGAATTTTATTCAGAGATGAGGATAGTTTATCATGAATTCATCATGTTACCTTGAATTAAACATTTAAGATCTGGTAATGAAATAAAAGTTAATCACATGGGTGAAAGAAACTGATGATGAAAGATTTGATTAGATTACAATCAATTTATCACCAAGAGACAATTAAGGAAACAAAGGTAATGAATAATTTATCATCATAATTGGGAACAATTATCGTATGTGATTGGATTGATGATGAATCTGTATCTGTATCATCATCATAATCAGAATGTTAATTGATCAACAATCGTGTTAATTGAATTGTATTATCATGAATAGAGAATCAGATGAAATATAAAAAAAAGGTATTGCAATTAAATGGATAAGCTGATTATCGTCAGGAAAGATGATAATGAATCTGAGGATAAGATGACGATGATGATGATGATGATGATGAAGCAAAGACTTTGATGATTATTATTATCAAAATCAGCAGAAAATGTTTCATTTTGAAAAGTTACTTATTATTATTATACAGAATCTAGTTGATTCTGAGCTTCTATCCTGATGAAATGATGAAATCAGCGTTTTCTTTACTTTCAAGACAAAATAACTATTGATAATTTTTATAACCTTCCACTGGGAGTGAATTCCCACCATGATAACCCTCCACCTTATATCTAAGTTATTCAATTTTAAATTGAAACATTTTAACATTCACGTTGATTACGATGTTGAATGGATGAGGTGAGTTGGGATACTTCAAGTGGAAATAGGAAAACAGGATGAAAAGGAAACAGAATTGAGATAAACATAAAGATAATCATATGGGTATGATGATGAATTCATGAAAAAAGGAAAGAGAAAATTTTTTTCCGATTCAATATTTTTATTTTCTCTTTATCATCTTCATCTTCATCGGAAACGATGAGTATTTATCTTCATTTTATCCTCATTATCATCATTCAAACATTTTCTCCTTCTTATTTTCCTTTTCCTCTCCATCTTCATAACATAACATTCATATTGTATTCTGATGATGATGATGATGATATTTTGGATTCTCTCTCTCTCTCTCCTCCCTCTCTCTCTCTCTCTCTCTCTCTTGTTCCACAGATAAACTTACTCACTATTTTTGAATCATTTCTTTTCAATTTTCTATTGATTTTCATGTATTATTATTGATTCATTTTCTACCATGAACTTTATGTATTCTCAGCTGAGTTGACATTTGAGCGAAAAAATAAAAATTTTTAGTCTTTTTTTGTTCATTAACAAAATTCATGATTTCTATTGATTCAGCTTCATTAATTCATTTAACAATTAACTAGACCTTTCATATAAATTTACTTAATTAATGTCAAAATCAATGTCAATCTGTTATATTTGCTGATTATCCTTCATGATCTAATTGATTCACATCACTCTGATTGATTAAATTAATTTTCTCTCTCTCTCAGTTAATCATTACGTTAATCAGTTTGTATCTTATTTGATTAAAATCCATAAGATTAAATTAATCCAACGATTAGAAAATATAATTTGATCGTTTAATTGTTTTCACTTAGCAATTAATCAGTTAATCAAACCCAATGATCACATTTTTACCTAACAATTAATAACTCTTATTATTTAAATTAATCATTTAAAGTTAATTCACTTGTAAGTGATCAATATGATAGTAATAAATACAACAGCATTCATTTATCAGCAATCAATTTCTAATCCAGTTAATTAACTTTGACAATTGACATTGGAAAAGTTATCAAGTTATCACAATTATGAGCAAAAATTTTTGAGTTACGATTTAATTAAAAGTTGAAATTGTTTAAGCTAATCAATAAATGTCCATTATGTTTAGTTGATTACATGATTCAACAATAATCATCATTAATTACTAAATTATCATGTTAATTACTGCGTTTTATTGTAATTTGAGACAAACAAAAGATGAACTTTATTGATTATTTAATTGTATCAGATATTAAGGTTTGGATTGAGTTGATTAAAGTCAACGTTTTATTGTAATTAGGAACAAGTTGCCAAGAATTAACTAATTATCATCAACATCATTATCTTATAGACAGAGTGAGTGAGAGAGAGAGATGATAAACTTCATCTTCTTCTCCTGGAAAGATGACAAAAATTCAGATAAACTTCAGAATCTCAGAATAGATTGAAGTTTGATAGAAATCTCAACATTAACCTTGAAGCCATGACCTTTAATCCTTGATTATCACTCTCACTCTCACTCTCATCCTAATCTTCATCTTTATCTTGACTCTCTCATCATTATCATCCCTTTGTGCTCAAATAAAATTGAGAGGAAATGAAAAGATTAAGGAAAAACCTTCAGCTGATATAAAGAAGACAGAGAAACAAAGAGCACAAATTAACAGTTACAAAGATAAATCTCTTAATCTTAATCCATTTTACTCAACAATCAAAGAGCAACAATTAGCCATTGATTAGTACGTTTCCTTTTCCTCTTTTGTATTATTCACTCTTGTTGTCTAATTTGTTTTCTCCATGTTGTAAGTTAGACAAACTAATAGTTAAGTTAATCCAATTTTATTATCCTTTTGATAACAATTAACAATTAAATCGTCAAAATTGGTGTTCTAATTATCTGTTGTCTTCTTTTAACCATAATCATCCTATTACTTTACATTAATCCATGGATGGAACATAATTCAAACCTAAAGGAATTGGTCGCCGTTGTTGTCGATGAACGTAATTGGAAAGGTATTGGAATCTCATTAGTGGTCATCGTAACAATATTTTCCTTCATTGGACTGGCCATTTTCATATTAACACCCAGTAAGTAATTTATAACAATACGAACATTAATCAATCATAATCAACAACCAGAAGCTCATCAATCTTTAATCAACTACAAAAGTCTATCAAAGTTTACCTGTTGATATCTTGATTACAATCTAATTGATTACCTGAACATTGAAGGTACACAACTTTTAGAAAATGGTCAAAACTGACCAGTGTATATGCTTGTATATTCTGGTTCTTACTGATGAATATTAACTTTGTGTGATATTAATCAATCGATTGATTGTGATTGTGATGACTGGTATTAGGAATTAAGTTTAAGGAATGGTCAATGTGATTCGTGGTCATCTTTTTATCTCATGTAATTGAAATGTAATCATTTTTTTGTGCCTTCCTTTGCATGTCAATAAAATATGATGATGTTTCGGATTAATATTGATGTTAACTGATTGACCTGATAACCTTTTACAAGGAAAAGGTTGTTGGATTCTCAATGATAACTTTGATTGTATTATTGTTAACCTAAATTGTTTTAGCTCAGTTGACAATACATTTATGTACTGGTCATTTACTATGGACATTTCCTCTCTCTCTCTCTCTCTCATTATCTTCCGGCTCTTCTTCAAATAACAATAATATCATTAAAGTTATATATACAATATCTAATTGAACCTGCGTAACAATTACTGATTGAGAACCATGATGATAAAAGATGAGAGAGATAATTTCTTATTCTGATAACTTTTTCTCTTACCTTTATACAGAATCAAGTGAAGAGGATTGGGGTCGATTCCGGATTAACTTGACGGATTTAATTGGTCCTCATTTAAAGCCGAATCATATAAAAAGCTCTTGGATATCAGGTAATTGTTGAATCTTTGATTAATTGTTTTAACAGAATTGAGGGGAAAAAGTTCCTATGAAAATTCATAGAATCTTTCATTTTTCTGATGAAACTTTATCTCATTTTACTTTCCTTTTGGAACTTGAATATTTGGGTGAAAATGAAATATGATAAACAGATAATATGATAACTAATGAATGGAAACTTTTTAATTTTGTTATAATCTTGTTGTCTTTTAATTGTAATATTAAAAATATCATTCATCTCTCGATTACATCAACAGGTAGTGAATTAGTTTACCAAGATGCTGAAGGATCCATATTGGTTTATGATGTGTTACAAAATGTTTCATCCATCACTTTAATACCAAGCTCAAAGATAGTAAGTAATTTTTTATCATGAAATGGAATCAGAAAATGATGATTGATGAATTGGATTTAATTCTGAAGAGAGAAGAAAAAAAATTCTCATCTCTTTTTCTCTGTTAACTTGTTCTCACTCCATAGAGTCAGTACAACGTCCACAAATTTATATTATCACCTGATCGACATTACACTTTATTAGAGATTGACCGGACAGAGGTAATTCTAGATGACCAGTGGTCGATTACATGGCAATCCGAATCAAATTACCTTTTCTTTTCTTGATCCAATTATCTAGGTCAACTCATCCGACCATGTTAATTATAAGATTTACAATATAAGTTCCAGTAAACTAATACCTCTTGAGGAGATAATTCAACCATACATTGAGGGCGAACCTCTGAAAATTCAGTATGCAACCTGGTCGAAAAGCGGAAATGCATATGTAAGTTTTTAAAACAATTCTTTTTCCCTTTCCACTTCCGTTTCTTAAGGGTAGAATAGAAAAATGCTAATAATCAGAGATTGAGAATAATTGAGAGAAAGAAAATATTATTAGCTTTAATAATAATGTTCTAATATTTATATTATATATTAATATCCAAGAATAGAAAAAGAGAAACTTAAATTGTGAATATTATTTATTCATGGAAAATGATAAAATAGAAATGAATTTAAATGATGAATAATCAAAGAAAATAATATAATAGATATCGTTGAATTGTGTGTTGTGTGTAAAAGTTTTCTTCATGGTTAAATAATCATTAACAATGTTTCATGAGGTTGAGATGATTATTGAATAGGAATTTGCTATTGTTATTATTAAATTGTTACAAGTTGATTCATTTTCATATTTGATAAAGTAAATCACTTGAAATTGAATTGAAGATAAATTGAAGAAAATATTTCTTTATGTTGTTGCTTTGTTCTCAGCTTGATTACTATTGTTATTGTTTTTTCGAGCCCTCAGGGTATTCAGGATATTCTCATCATTTTTGAGTAGAGAGAGAGAGAGAGCGAAGTAGATGATTGTGAGGATTTTTGTTCTTCAGTTATGATACATGTTGATGATAAGAGAAGATGAAGATGAAGATGAGGATGAAGATGAGAAGATGATTAGCTTAAAGAAGATATTTGTGACTCCCTGTTGGAAGAAGATGAAGATTCTATTTGGTTGGTTTAGATGATGATGGAGATTCGAACAAAAAAAATGTCGAAAGAAATTTAAGAGAATTGAGCTGATCAGCTTTCACCTGAAGATATTTTTTTTTCATGATAAACTCAATGAACCACGAATGATACCAAAATACTATTGTCGAGTTAATCTATTTGAAATTAAATTCTAAAAAAGTTTGATTGATAAAAGTTAATTGGGTTATTTTTATGGTGAGAATAAGTTTTTTTTTTCTCAAGGTAAATGGTCAAAATTGGACATTGTCCAGCTTTTCGAGGTTTCTAACCGACTGATTGTGTGTATTATTATATTACCTGCAAATAATGACGACGATGATGATGATAACATCATTAACCTGAAGTGTCCAGTAAAAGATAATAATTGAAGTTTTCATGGACAACAAATAATACTCATAATGATTATGTTCAACTAGATTATTATTATCATTATGAAACTTTTATCTTGCTCTCTATTATCATTGTCTTTTCAATGAGTATTTTATTTCATGATGAAGAGGTTACGATAAAAACGTAAGGAAAAGCTTAATTAAAAGCTCTCTCTCACTCTCTCCATCCTCATCATCTTATTGAGTTTGTACACAAATGGATTAATAATAATGTTGGTGATAATTTTGTTCCAGAGTTGATATGGATTAGATTCTGTGATGACCAGAACTTTTCATATGATCGATGTACATGTAACTTTGCTCTGAGACATTAATTATATCAAAAGCTCAGGTATCGTCATGATGATCTAATAATAGATGGAAAACTTTTAATCTTAATACTTTTCTAACCAATGAGTAAATTGTTTCATTTCTTGTTGGTGATTAAGATTAAATCATTTTATTCTTGGATGATCTTTGTTTTTTTTTTCTTGGTTTATTCTGAAGCAAAGGGATTACCGATTGAATCCTTAATCCTTAGTAGATAAGATTCTCAGTTGCTTGAGAATTTATATCCAATATCTTTCTAATGGTTGATTCATGATGCTACAGGGTGAGAATCTCGTTACCATAGTGAAGTGAATCAAATTTTCAGAACTAAATTAATGTCTTTTTATTTTCACATTATCAGTAGTCAACCTAAAGTATTATCATGAACATTATCAAAATCTTGATCAACATCGTTAGGTTTTGTATTAATATCATGGATGTTGTTGATTATCATCATCATCATAATCATTATTTGAAGATCATTATTTCATCATAATCATCATCATCATCTTTATGTCCATGGTTAAGGAGATAATGTTTACATCATATTAATATAAATCTAAATTCTGGTTGAGGTGAAAGTTTTTTTCTTCCTCCATGAGATTTGTCTACATGGGAAAAGCAACAGGATAAAGATAATTAAATGAATCTCAAACTGAATTTACTGTAATTGATTGTTGGAGTTAATCATCATTTAAACACATAATTAATGATCAACTTTTCGAGTTGTGAGTGTAAAAGATTATGTAACTGACCCTTAATGGACTTTGATGGATAAAAGTGATTATAATTAAGGAATTGAAGTTAATCGTATTTACATTCATGTATCTTTCATGATGATGATGAAATATAGCTTAATGAATCTGAGAGAAACTGTAAATGAAATTAAATATTATTTGGGAATATAATTATCATGATTAATGAGTAAGACAATTTGTTCAATGTTTCTATTAGTATATTAATAATAATTGAAGATAAATCTTATCTCCATCTTTACCTGAATCTATTATTTATCATTTTGGTGAAGATGAATGAATAAGTTTCCTTAGTAACTTTTCTGTTCATCTCTTTCATGATAAAATAGAAAATAGGAAATTCATTAAGAAACTTTATTCAGATGATGATAATAATCATTTCATGATGATGATGACGATGAAATGATGATCACACAGGTAATAATGCTAATTAAAAGATACCCAATGATAATGATGATGAAGGAAAAGATAAATATCATTTTCATATTATTATTTTTTTCTTCATCTTTAAGAACTCGAGTTCGTTGGAACGAAAATTTTTCTTCTAATTATCCTCATGTTGGTTGATTATTCTGAAATTATCAGCAAAATTCAGTCGCTAATTGTTGAGATTGATCATCAATCATTTAACTGTTTCATTTTATGGTTAACCCGATTCATTAATAATCTAATAATTTTATTAATCAATCTCAATAAGTAATCTGAATACTATTCATGGTAATAGATATAAAGTATTTCTAATTAAATATTAGACATGATTTACACTGAATATCATTAATGATTTTCTAATCCATTAATTAATTAAGACTAAGAACTGAGAAACGATTATCATCAATATTAATACAACAATGTGTTCAAAAAGTTGCTACAATATTTTAATATTAATATTGCTTGATCGTAATCATGATTAGGATAATAAAACTTTTCGAATGCTTAATTTGTCTAATTGTTGGCTAATTGTTTTGATTAACTTTTCTTTTCTTTTCCAAAGGTGTTCATAATTAAAAATGATATCTACTACTGCCCTGGAATCGGCAAGGAACCGGTCAGATTGACCACCACAGGTAAATCATTATCGGTTTACAATGGTTTACCTGATTGGTATTATAAAGGTAAGTTGTGAGTTTTGGTGGAAAAGAATTTGGAATTTTTGAAAATTTCTGATTTTCTGCATTTTTTTTTCCAGAATTTTTGGGTCTAAATGAAGCTATTTGGTTCTCAGCTGATGGAACCATGTTAATCTATGCAAGTTTCAATGATTCTCTCATCGATTTGATTCCAATCAACATTTACGGTTCTCTTTATGATACTAAATCGGAATACGAATCTCCACCTTCTATTATTAACCAGAGATTTCCAAAGGTGAGAACTATTTTATTATTATTCTATTTGATAGAAAAGGAAGATATTATCAACTCTTTCCAACACTTTTGGACTAAAGAACCTTGTTGACATTTGGTATTCTCTTTGACCTTATTCTTAGATTCTTTAGATAAATCTGAAAATTCTATCATGATGGTTATCATAAGAATAGAAATATTATCCTGATATATAATGAGAAGATTTGAGCTACGAAATTGCGATTTCAATTCCATGTTCTCATCTATATACACGATTGTTGATCTTTCATGATATCGAAGAGAGAGAGAGAGAGAAAATTGAGAATTCTAAGTTTAGGAATCCATGTGAATAAAGAAGCTCAATAAGAGATAATATTCATCTGAGAAAATAAGGAAAAGTGAAAACGAGAAAATGGAAAATAAAAAAAATTATTTCGATTTTTTTTCTCTCGTTATTTTATTTTTCTCTTTCAATATTCAAATGAGATTAAATTGAATTTCTGATTGACTTGATTTTTATACACGTTTTCTTTTCTTTTCTAATTTCAATTCAATCATATCAAAGATTATCTTCAATATGAACCGATAACCAGAAATTCTGACAATATGATGATGACATTTTTTTCTCTTCTTTCAACCTTTGATGATTTCTCTAAATTCTGATGGACAATTTAAGTATCTTAATCGATAAGAATCATGAATCTTATTTTTCCCTTTTCTCATTTCTAAATGCGAACATGAATTCAATCAGAATCAACCTTATTTCCCATGATAATCTAAATTGATACACAATTTGGTTGACATTTTTTTTCCTGTTCAAGGCTCAGGAAAAACAGGAGGGAAAAATTCAATCCAAATGGTACCATGAGAATGAAGATTAACATTATTCAATATTGATCGAATCTGATTGTTCACAGAATCGTAATGGTGATTGATTAATGATCTTAATTAGCAGATTGAATGGAAGAAAATTTCATCTCATCTGAACTTGAATTCATTTTCCATTTCATTTCATTTCATTTTTTTTTCTTTTCTTTAGAACCTGAACTTGAATTCTCATGATTTCTCTTTCTCTCACCGAGTCACTTTTTCTCATAAATCTGTTGAACTCTATTCGATAATGAATAGAACTTTGAACATTCGAACAATTCAATCATAGAATTTAAAGTTGAATAAAATTTTCTTTTCTTCTCTCTCTCTCTCACTCACTCTTATGAAACTCTAATGGATTTACATTTAAATTAAGTTCTTGCATTTCATTATTCACTTTGATTAATTTATCATGAAAGTTTCTAGCATTTCCATGAAAGTGAAAATGATGTTTTGACAAAATTTTCACTTCGATTGAACCGGAAAACTTTTTCCATTGAATCTTTTTGGAACTTTTTTTTTCATTCTTATTTTCTGTCACTTGTTGGTAATTATTTCTTTCAACCTTTAGATTTGAAGACAATTAAACTGATTAGAATTATGATTGATTGATTTAAGTTGATTCGAAATTTTCACCACGAATTTGTTACTATTCTTTTATTATATTTTGTTTTTCTTTTGTATTCGATCAACGTTCATCTCTTCTCGAACTTTTTTCTTATCATTTCAAAGTATTTTCGAGTTTCGAGTTTTCTTGAAACTTTTCTCTCTCTCTCTCTCTTTTCCAATGTTTATTAACATTCTCTTTTCTTTACCATGATAATGTTCATAGAATTGAACTTCCCTCAGGACGAAATCTACATTGGTTATTATCACTCAACACTGAGGAAAATAGAGCTTGAGCTTTAGGAGGTTCGATAATGTTAACAGAAAACAGAACTTGGAACTTTTCTTCTCTAAATAAAAATCTTTTCTTTTATTAATAGTTACTTGTTTATAATATTGTTCGAACCAGAGTTGGAACTTTTCTCTCTTCAGAACTTTATTTATATCATTTAACTCTTATTCGTTTCGATAGGATAAAAGTAACCAATTATGTCAGAGTATTTCTCTTATTAATCGATTTCGATTCTCTCTCAAACCTTCTTATTGATAGCATGAACATTTATTAGAATTGTAGTCGAAAAAATTTCGACAGATACGAATTGAAATTCGTTTTTCTTTCCTTACTTTAGGTTACTAGGGACTCGAAATATTTTCATTCTTAAAATCTATCATGATATTTACTCGCCTAAATATCGTCACAAAAGACTTTGAAATGAGAACTGAAATTGATCAGAAAAATGAACACAACGATTGTGAAAAAGTTCAATATCTTAAATCGGTAATTTCTCATCTTTTTTTCTTATCAATTGAAACGAATACAATTTACCATGGAAATGAAGAAATAACATTTTCTCAACGTATCTACATTTCCTTTTCCGGTTGAAACTTACAAACTATTAATTCAACTAAAAAGGCGGAAATTTATCAAGGAAATTAAATGATTAACTTGATAATCAATAAATTGATGAAAAAGTTATTCGTTTACCTGAGTTTCCCTATTGAAAATAAGTTAATCGATTTACATATTAACACAACAACTAAAAGTAAACCGAATCAAAATTGATCAACAATTTGACCCAATTTACTTGATTAACTTTTTCACTACTCATAAATGACTTGGTTTTAAATTAGTTCGTAGTTGTAATTGTTTAGTTAATTGTCTAACATTTCAAATTGTTGTTCATCTCTTAAAAGGCTGGACGATCGATACCAATTGTTGACCTTTGGTTTATCAAGTTATCGGATCCAAGTCGATCGGCTCGTAAGCTAATTGAACCCGTTGAACTGACCGGTAAAGATAAATACTTGACCTACGTTTCCTGGTTTGACTCGTCAACGATAATCGTTGTTTGGACATTACGAAGTCAAAATCATTCAATATTAATAAATTGCTCCGGTTACGATAATTGGTCTTGTAGAAGGTCAAATGTAATCAGTGAGAGTATCAATAAGGTTAAATACCTTGGATCATCAATATTAACTCGAGACAATCCCTCCAAGCATTTCATTATCACACCTAAACCTGATCTTAAGATTGGACAATATAATCATATAGCTCATTTTAATCCACAGGTAAGAGATATATGAACAATTAACTCACCTGAGAATTTTAATTATATTCCCAATTTGAAAGTTTTCCACTTTAAAATGTTAGCAAAGTTGACGATTCATTTTATTAGAATCAACAATTGACATTAAATCAACTTCCGTGATTATATTGAAGTTTAACTTCCGTTTCCATTGTGTTATCATCATCATCTTTTCATCCTCATCTCCATCAACTGGAAAACTTTTCAGTCTTTATTTTGTTGTCAACTTTTTGTTTTTAAAGGGAAACATTTTGTTGATTATTTATCGATTGTTGAGTTTTAATTGTTCCAATTTTAATTATTTTGTTCTTACTCAAGGATAAATATTTCAATCTGGTTGGAAACTTTTTAACTCATGGACGTTACGATGTATTAAGATTATTATCTTATGATATTCGAGAAGATATAATCTATTTCCAGGCTACTGGAATTGATAAACCAGCTCAAAGTCACATTTACTCATTAAGCTTAACCAATTCAACTACAGGGTTACCTTTTTGTATTACCTGTAATTTAAGCTCATCTTGTGGTTATTATGAGGCAACATTCAGTCCATCAGCTGACCATTACGTCTTAAGGTGCCTTGGACCCAAAAAAGTGTTCACCTCAATCTATTCAACAATCAATTATACTCATGGTAATTATATTGCAATCAAAATGTTCGAAGTTCTATCTGGTTGATTGATTAATTCTCTTTCTTTAATTAGTTTGGACCATTGAAGATAATAAAGACTTTGAGGAAGTTCTGAAAGATAAACGAATGCCCAATGAGATGTATTTAACTCTACCCATAGATAACGATTCTCGAAGTAAGTTTCAAATGTTCAAATGGTAACATATTCGATATTTTTTTTCTAAAGTGTTTGAACGTTTTCGAATTTTGAAATTTACCTTGATTGTTGTTTACTCTTCTTCGAAAGGGTTGAACATTAAAGTTCTGGTTCCACCTCCACGTCGACATCTAGAAGTATTAAATGAAGAGGAAGATGAAGGTATTCGTTATCCATTGGTCATCGAATCGTAAGTGTTTTTAATTATTCTGTTAATTGGTTAGAGAAAAAGTTGATTAGATTGATTTTATTTCTTCTTATAAATAGATTTCCAATGGTTGATTTAATTCTTAATGAAAGATTCAATCTTCACTGGGGACATTATCTTTCTTCATCAAAGGAATATGTTTACGTTCAACTTGAACTTCATGAGATTAATCCGAAAGATACCTCAAGAGATTATCGCTGGTCAAAGGTTAATTATGATCATCAATTGGCCATAATTGATTTAATTGATTCCCTATTAGGTAATATTGATCGTAGCAAGGTTGCTCTATGGGGATCAGCAAGTTCAGCATTCACAGCATTGGAAACAGTTTCTCAAGATAAAACTGGACTAATTACTTGTACGATTGGACAATCACCAGTAGTTGATTGGCGTTTAATGGGTAAGATAATTAATATTAATAGTTGATAAATTGCTCACAATTGAAAAGTAATTGTTTCTCAATAATAAGGATACAATCATCAGCTTCCTATTTTATCAATATCAGTGATGAGAGAGAGAGAGAGAAAATGATCACAATTAATGCTGAACATTAGATTTCGATGAGAAATCATTATGACCATGATGTTCATTCATATTGACATGATTAATTTGTTCTGAAATCGAAATCAATACGACGATAAGTTGATAGAAATTGAAATCGTTCACCATGATATTGTTTCAAATTATTCATTCTCTCTCTCATTCTCTATCCTTTTGATAGTAATTCTTATAGTAAATTTTCCCATTGTGGGTGAAATTACTTGCTACTAATCGATTTATTGATGTTCAGGGGAAGAGGAAGAGATAAAGTAAGATGGAGATAGTGATGATATTGACTTGGGAGTGATGAGAAAAGAGGAACTGAGAAAATTGTGATGATGATGATTATGAGATTCTGATGAATGCCTTCTAATGAAATAGTATTAATAGTACATAGAAAATGGTTACCAGAATTTTTATTCTATTTGATTTTTTTTTCTTCTTCTTTCATTCTGATTGAAGGTTCCTGTGGTTTTCCAAGATTCAGTGTGTATTATATGAGTGATGATTGAAAAGTAATGTTATAAATACATGATGATAGTAGTTCTTTATGTTTCTTTTTCTTCACCATGATAACATGATGAATATTGGAAGAGAGAGAGAGAGAGAGAGAGAGAAACAAAAGGAAGATGATGAAAAAAAATATATACAATTGATGGTGAACATTGAATGTTCATTGGGAGGAAAAGTTCATGTTTCCATCATGAACAAACAGAAAATGATCTGAAATTGTGAAAGCAAACAAAACATTGATTCTTGGTGATTATTGATAATTTTATCATGAAATTCATGTGATGATTTCATTTTTCATCTTGATGATAATCATGATTGATACATTTAGTGTTAATCTATGAGGATGTTTAATTGCAATTAATGATAATATTTATCAACATTTGAAACTTGATTGACATTGATTTTAATCTGATCATCGATTCTAATTGACTCTCATTGTATTTTCAGGAATAGAAAATTTTTCCAATTCCATATCAACAATAATTAAAGTTAATAATAGAAAATTAATATAAGAAGATGATAACTAACCCTGATAATGAACAATTCCATGATGATGATGATGAGCTAAAAATAGAGCTGAAACTCGGGAGATAATTTGAAGACACGATAATCATGATCATCTTAATGGATAATCTTTAATCTCGATATTAACTATTAGCCCTGTGGCTTTTATTGACTTTCCTTTCATCAGTTGATCACTTGGGAGTGGAAAATAATATTGTATAGATTTACTTTGATGGTGAAATTTTCTCATTGATCATGATGACGAAATTAAATGGTGAATCAAAGTGATTAGAGTTGAATGAAAGTAGTTAAAGATATTGGATTGTAAGAGAGATGAAGCTAAATATGATTCGGAAATTTGATCCTTATCGTCGTCATGATGATCATGATGATGGCGATTCTCTAGTTGATTTTATGTTCATTTTATTTGATCAGTTGTGATGATCGTCTTGAAATGAGAATGAGATAATCTGGTAACCGATATTTTCCATATAAATAATAGTAGATTCATCTAATAATAAGCCATTAATGGAGATTAAGTTTCGTCCATTGAGAGAAATGAAAAGTAAACATTAGATTAGATGAGATTGAAATTGGATTATATTGAATTCTCGGGTTCAATTGTATTCGGTGTTCACAATGAAATGAAGTTAATGATTGGATAACCATGGAGAGAGAAAGATTCATGATGATTATTGAGCAAATTGTTGGAATTGTTTGTTTCTTTTTTTTGCTTCTCTTTTTCCAATCTATTTGATTAAAATGATGTTAATTAACTTACGTGAACATAAGTTTAAATTACGTTACGAAAAGCGAAAATTGTCCTCACAATTGTTCAACTCTAATTGCTCAATTTATCATTAACTTTGATTCTTGATTGCTGCTAATTTAGTTAAGCTTTTCCTTCAATCAACTTCATTGGTTTGACCTTTTTCTTTGGGTTTTCATGTTTATTGTTAAGTGAGAATCAAATTAAATTAAGATGAGATTTATGATGACAATCAATGATTGTACATGATAATGATAATAGTAACAGTTTATCAACAAAATCAACATTGAAACGATAAATCAAATGAATCAATTGAAAAGTTTTTCACTTTTTCTTTCATGATGATGATGAAAAATTATCATCATGATGATATAATCTGTCTTCTGAATTGATGGTGATTATTTTATCCTAACTGAATCTTATTCTGAATTGAATGTTGGAAAACTGTTAATCCGTAAGGAAGAAAGAATCAAATTAAGATTAATGAATGATAATCAAGGGTCAATGATGATTATGATTAGAAATGAATTAAGATTAAGTGAGGATAAAAATGTTTTCAATTCATTTAATAGGATGTTGATCATTTTCTCAATCACAATCAATCAAATTGCATCCAGTCAATTGTATTGAATTGAATTTTGTTGATAAGAATAATTTTCTCAAGTGATTAACTAATTGCCTGTTGTTTATTATTTAACAATTTAGATGCTGTTTCTGCTGAATATCTGTTTGGTAATCCAAATACTCATCAATATAATTCAAATTACGATCTGAACAATTTATTTCTCAAGGTTGATGATTTGGTTAATAAAAAGTTTCTCATCGCCCATGGAACTGCCAATGGTAATTAAATGAGTAACAATCTGATGAAATTAATCAATTACAGTTAATTACATTCAACTAATTGGTATTAAATTGTGAACAAAAAAAAATGAGCAAACAATTTGTTACAAGGTAACTTTTAAGGTTACTAATTGATCTGATGCTAATTAATTAGTATTAGCAATCAATTGGTTTGGATTAGACAATCAATTGTTGATGATGATTAAAAGTCATAATTAGTATTGATTAAGTTGTAATAATAAATTGTTACCATTGAATTAAGGGGAAAACTTGATAATAATAGATTTAGTTTAATTGTTGATCCATTGATTATTGGAATACAATATAATTATGAAACAATTTAATTTGATTGGAAAAATTGACTTAATTTACTTGTATTGCTGGAAACCAATTGAATCTTTCGCCTTGGTAATTAATTGTAATTGTATTTGATTGATTTTCTGTCTCTCTATTGATTGATGATTAATCTTATTTTTGTTTCTCTCTCTCTCTCATCTGATTTAATTTACTTATCAACAGAATTTGTTTCCCTTCAACATACTATGTTATTGACTAAATCATTGATTAAGGAAACAATCAAAGGAACAATTAATTATCAAATTCAAATCTATCCTGATGATGATCACCTTTTATCACATTCAAAGTTACACTTTTTACTTTTAATTGAAACTTATTTACAGAAATGTTTTGATTCTGTTCAATTAAATGGAGATAGTTGACCATTGAAACTGGACATGATGTAATCTTTAAATCTCTCACCTGTAAAAATATTATATTGTAAATAAATTCACCAATAAATATATGAGAAAATAATAAAAGTGACAATTATATTACTCGAAAATTGTTTCATTGATTTATCGATTTTCCTTATAATTACCGTTATAAACTTTACGACGATCGAAGTTGATACAAATACTAAAGAAAAAGAGAATTAATCTAATGGAGAGAATAATACAAACACAGTTAGAAGAATATCATCTAGATATTATCAGAATTTATATTCGATTAAAATCTAACCTCAGTTATTGTTATTCTTTGGTTTCGAACTTTTTTTTTACTCTTAGAACGTGATTGTCGTTTGTTAGATTTCCAATGAAGAGAATTTTTTATTGGCAAACATTTTCGATCTAATTTCATGGAGGAAATCTCAATCGGAATAATTTGTTCTATTATTTTATCGATTTGTGGTGAAGAAAAAAGTCGATTACAATTTGGAATAAGGAGAAAACTCAATTCGATTGGAAAAAGAAAACATAATTTGAAAATCGCGGGTAAAATTCGAACTTCGCTCTGATTGGATAAAATGTTCTTCTCTTTTCACATGTTAGCGTTTCTTTTAATCTTGTTGATTGTTTTTCTTTAATTTTTCTCGTCTAATTATGTTCTCTTTCGATTGATTAATCGCAATTTGGATTAGATTTTATTTTCTCTCTGTCAATATGTCTTCGTTAATTGTGCGAAATGTTCCACGTTTAATCGCAACATTAAATAGAACAAATCAAATTAATCGATTCGCTCTTCTAAACTGTAGACTTGCTTCATCTTCGGTTCCTTCTCGACAGATTAATTTACCCGATTTTAAAATTCCAGATCCACCTTTGCCTCCGGAGCTTCTGCCCTTGGGCCCGATAACAGCCAAGACTTTCAACTGTTCATTATGGTTTCCTACAGGTAAATTCATTCTTTTTAGAAAAAGATTAATCTAGTTGATAATTTCTTCTCTTTTTCTTTTTCTCTTCAGGTTGGATTTGCACTATGTTATTATATTTAGAGAATCATGTGCCTTATTATGTCGCTATTATGACTGTTACACTTGTCGGTAGAATAATTTTAACTCCGGTTATGATCTTCTCACAGAGTGAGTCTTTTTCCTTCTGTAAATTGTATCTCAATTCTTTAACCATGACTGACTAATTTAGGTTTTTCTTTTCGTTTCGTCAGAACAATCGACAAAAATGGCCTTGGCTAGTCCGAAACTCACAACATTTATGAATATGAAAAAAGAAGCTGAAGCAAGAGGTGATAGAGAAGCAGGTTAGTTCTTATTATTCCGTTTTAATTTTTTCTCTCCGAATCGATCAAACAATTAATTCTATTCTATTAATCTTTTCAGCACTGAAAGCGACTTATAAATTGGCCGAAGTTTACAAGACAAACGATTCATTTAAATTGAAGAATATGGTTATCGCTCCTTTATGTTCGGTTGGTATATTTTATCTAATATTTTTTGTTTTAATTGTATTCTAATTTGATGTAATTGATTTTTTTTCTTTCATGATCAGATTTCTGTGTTTGGAAGTTTTTTCATAGCTTTAAGAGCAATGGCCAATAGTGGACACGAAGTTATGAAAGAAGGTGGTTTCGGTCCGATATTTGATTTAACTATTCCCGATCCAAGTTATCTCATCCCAACCTGGACAGCGGTAACATTGTTTGGAATAATGAAAATTGGAGTTGAATATGGTAAATAGATTGAGGTGGAAGAACTTTAGTTCGAAAACACTGTCACCAACGATATTAATTTTCTTCTCTCATTTGATTGATTTATTTAGGTTCGATTACAAACACAGCGAGTCAAAGTCCAGTTCAAGATTTACTGAGAAAAGCTTCATTATTTGTTATTCCTGGAGCAATTTTTTACGCTTCCACCAAGATGCCCGCCGCTGTTTGTTTATATTGGGCCACAAGTAATACAATATCAATCTGTCAATCAGTAATCATGTTGAATCCAAAGGTTCGTCGGGCACTCAAAATACCTCCAACCGTAAAAAAGGATAAAAGTGAAAAGAAGGGAGTTTGGGGCATAATTGTAAATAGTGTCACCGACGTGAAAAAGGCTTGGACCACAATGATGCAAAATCGAACGGCCAGAAAGATAAACAATGAATACTTAAATCAATTTGATCGTTCGGGAGTTGGACCTTTACAGAAAACCTATGATTATGATCCAACTAAATCAAAACCTAAATTGTAAACAGATAATAGTTTGTTCTAGTAAACCAGAAGGTTCAAAAAAACAAATGTAAGTTAATTCAATTACTCAATTAGAAAATTGTTAATATTATCATGGATCCGTTGTCATCGCTTATAATACATCATACAAACAGATAAACACATAAGTGTTTATCTAATGACGATTCTTGCCTTTCCTACTCAACATAAGCACCAATAGACCAGCTCCAACCGCTCCAGCGACATGAGTCCAATTAACCCGTTCATCTTGCCTTAAATTTCCGCTATTAGCAAATCGAGTGTTGGACGATTGTCCAAATTTATATTGTCGTTGAGCATTCGAAGCCCTGGGCCGACTTGAGAATTGGGAAGTAAAACAATCAGGGCAACCATCGACATATTGATCAAGTCGAATGTATTTGTCACCACATTTGGGACATTTGATTTGAAGAGCATCAAGCAAATTGGTAAATGGAAGGGGAGCTTTTCGAATAGTTTCTTTTCGAATCCTCGAACAAGAGCTTGGACAGACATTTTTAACTTTGAACCAATCGAAAAGACATTCGGCACAATAGATGTGACCACAATCATCGGCGACCGGGTTGTTTAAAACACCCCAAGCAAATGGCACAAACAAATTCCTCATTTGGTTTCTCCTTGAACATTGTGATATTATGACCCATTTTTGGTTAATCTAAATGGAAAGAAAAACAAAAAGAAACGAAAATTTTTCTGAGATCAGAGATGAGGTGAAATTTTCATGGATAAAATCAAAGACAAACCAGTTGAAATTCAGATGAGAAACTCAGAAATCAACCGATAATCTATCAATAGGTCTTCGTTTGTAGGTGTTTATTTTTGATGAGAATTCACAATGACTTAGCCGACGAAGTCAATGAAACTTTAGCTCAGTCGATCAACTGTCGACTGATTAATTAACTCAATCGACGATTCCATGTATAAATTAGGTACGTAACCTTAAATTCTGATAACGATTAGATTTTGATTTAATCGTTTGTGATGAAATATTTTCTATCAAAATCAATTATCGATATTTTTCCCAAAAAAGAAAAAGACAGAAGAAAAGAGAGAGAAAAGTTGACATGATAGTTTTATCAAGTGAATGATTTCCGATATTGTGATAATTGATTTGGAAATAATCTCTCTTTTCATCATTCTAATATTAACGTATTATTAATTTAAAATTAGATGGGGAGATAAAGGAAACAATTAATAGACTGGTTAATAATACAAAGGGGAAAAGTTATGATATCGATAGATAATAATTTAAAAAGAGGAACAAAAATCTAAATGGTAACAATTAAGGTTGACAAATAACAATTTCATTACTAAAATTTAACATTTGTTGGCTTTGAGACAGTGAGCGAGAGATTTTTGTCAATTAAAGATCAACCAATTGATTAATGATCTAAAATTCTTAGATTTCCAGAGACAATTTTATTCTCCAAAACTGATCCAGCAGGTATATCAATACGATCTCCATGATTAGCGATAATAATTACAGTTCCTTGTAATTTAACTCCTCGGCCAAAGGTAACATCGCCTGAAACTGTTAAATGATTCAGTTCAAGCATATCAGGAATCGATGCGAATCTTGATAAAAAGTCTCGAATTTTAGCAAAATGAGCATCACCCAATTTAACTAATGGAACTGAGGGAAAAGGTCGAGCGGGATTCATTATAAGGCAACCTTGATGAAGAGAATATAAATTAGACATGATTAAAAGTAAATCTTGAGTCTTTTTAACAGGTAGAAAACGTGATCGGGGAACATTGATTCCAATGGCATTTTCAAATTCTTTCATTGCTGCACCAGCGGCAGTTTCCAATTGGATAACATTTAAACCATTGTCCAAAGTTTTCGGGTTAACAATAATCTCCATGTTGAGACGATCACTTTTGAGTAAATCACCAATTGACTTTAAACTAACCCATAAATTGTTGGTATTGAAAATTTTAAACTTTTTAACCGATTTAAATTCATCTACATGCTCCTTTGGAACTTGGGCAATTTCAAGTAATCGCAATTTACTTTCATACTGGATTAAAGTACCACCCTTTACATCAGCCTGAGTTTTATCGGTCACCTCCATTACAAAGGTTGGTCTATTGGCTCGATTTTGATCCAATAGTGATTTTAATATATTCAAATCAACGGTTGCTCCTAAATTGTCAATGTTGGACACGAAAACATATTCTTTACCTGTAAGAAAAGGGGGCAAATATTTATGATCAGTTTGGTCGATTAACTTATCAAGATTAACTTACCTTGTGCGATGAAATCATCTAGTAAACCTGATTTTGAGAAACTCTCATAGAAATCACCATGACCTGGTGGATACCAATCCTCTGGGTCACTGTCTATTGAAGATGCGATGGGAAGTAATGTTTCCCTATTCAATCTTGGGAATCTACTTTGTAAGAAAGTGTAAATTTTAATTTTAAATCCACGATATTTTCTGGAAACTTTTTGTGTATCTTCATCAGTGTTGAAAGAATTCATTAAAACCAGAGGTACATCAGCACCATACTCTTTGTTCAATTGTTCAATATTTTGAACGGTAAGATCAAGAAAGGTTAACTCATTACGAACAGGTATCAATGATTTGGGTCCAATACAGCCCATTGAGGTACCTAGTCCACCATTTAATTTGACCACAACCAGTTTAGATAATAATTCACGAATCTCTAGAGCTGTTGGTGTTTCCAAGGTATCATAATTCACAATGGCACCAGGTAGTAAGGGTTCAATTTTCTCCCACAAAAGTGAAGGTCCAGTACCTTCCAAGAATTTGGCAAATAACCTCTTAAAACCGAACAATTCACTTTCCAAAATTTGTCGCTGTTGTGGACATGAAACTGGAGCTAATAGTTTATCCAATTCGTTAGCCAATTGAGCTGGAGCATCTTTCTTTGTTAACTCACGAAACTCTGAGGTTGAACTGATTTTCCTTCTATGGCCCATGGTGATTATAATTTAACGATGATTAACTGGAAAAGTAAAATAAATCAATAATAATAACATATATAAAATATATAAATATATAAACAATCAACAGTAAGAATATAAAGAAAAACAAAAAACACAGGAACCAGAGATCCAAAGAAGATACAAATTAACAGGAAACTGTTTAGGATCCAAAATCCAAAGCAGACAAAAATAATCAAGTTAAATTGTCTAAAGTAACTTACCAAATTGATCGGAAGCTATTGATCCAAATGGTAATTGATTTGTAACTAAAATCACTCAGTTGATTTAATTACTGTGGAAAATTGAAAAGATGAAGAGAGAAGGAGAAAGTTATTACCAAATGGAAGGTAATTATTCACAGAATGTATTTAGTTGCTAACCTTGCCAAAAGAACTCTTTCTCTCTCTCTCTCTCACTTTCTCTTGTTACTTTTGTTTTCTCTTTCAAATAATTAACAAGAAATGTTATACTTACATATTAGTATTTATAAGAACCAGAGAAAGGAAAACACATCAAAGGGGAGAAAAGAGAAACAGAGAAACAGGTAAAGGGGGAATTAAGGTTGTTCCAACTTAACCGGTTACTCTTTCGTTAGATTTACACAATTAACGACAATCAATTGATAGAAATTGAACAGAAAAAAACAAATCAATTTAAACGAATAAACAACAATCAATTGGAAAAGAGAATTAAATTAAACGTTAGAAAGAAAATTAAAAAATCGATTTTTTTTTGTTCGAAACTAATTGTTCCAAATTCGTCCAATAGGTGACGTGGTGGTTTTCGTTGCAAAGAAAAAATTGATCAACAATTAACTTCCAATCAACTATTTGATTTGATTTCTTTTTTTTGCTGTTGATTGTTTATCTTTTCTTGATCTTCTGTTGGTTGAATTGATTGTCTCAATGTAAAGAGCAACAATTTAAATGGTTAACCATTTGGTTCGTTACGTTTTTCTCATAACCATTAACGTTCAAGGTTAACGACTTTAATTTTGTTTCTTTACAATTAAAATCGTTGGAAAGGTTAATCATGATTGGATTTAATTGCAATCGTTTTGATACAATTTTGGTTATTAAATTGTTTTAATGGACCAATTTGTTTACTAATTTCAAATGAGATTCCATTAATAATATTATCAACTGAATTTGAGGATTGATTTTAATTGGAAACTTTTTTTTTCTTGGTTAGTAATTTAATTTACTAAAATGTGATTTATCTGATTTATATTAGTGAATTTAATTAACGTCCAGGAATCATGGGATTACCATGATGATTACAATTAACCTTGAGATGTCTATGTGAATATAAAAAAGCTGAATTTCTGAAGGACATTTTGATTTACCAATGGTGACGACACAACAATCTCATGTGTCCATCAATGATTAAAGGATAATTTAATTTGATCAATCAAATTAATCAATAACAAGATAATCAAATAAATCAACTCAATTATCAAGATTATGATAAATCAATCAAACTAGACAATGATCAGGATAATAACAATAACAACAATTAAATGACAACTTGAACAAAACAAACAAACAGATTTAAATCAATTTTTGTTTTTATTGTTTGGTCCAAATACAATTAAAAGATTTGATGATTAACTGATTGTTGATTGTATCAAGACTGAAAGAGAAAATGAATCAAAGGTAAATCACTGAAACCAAAGTAAATGTTGATAATATAATAATAAGAATAATAATAATAAATTGTGGATAAAATTAATTCTCAGATGAAACAATTTAGTTAATTTATCAAATGGATTTTTGTTACTTCGTTTCCAAAGATAATCATTGGTGTTGTTGTTGTTGTTGTTGTTGTTGATTATCAGCCAATCGATAATTAGTTAATTATACTCCAAATAAGCGATTCTCATTTGCTCTTAGCTGAGCAATTATCTTTTCTTTGGGTTGATTAGCATCGATGACAATTGTACTTTTAGAAGCGATAATATCATTATGACAATGATTACATGAAGGTGACAACCAGCGTTCATGAAGTTCATGAAGACCTTTGAGATAATCCTGAGAAAAGAAAATGAGAAAAGAATGAAAATCGAAAAAGGAAACAATTAGTTAATCATAGTTACCAAAGTAATTTTCTTCTCTTCGACTCTTCCTCTATCCTGAATACGCTTGTAGCAAACTTCGGGTGACGCTCTCATGTAAACGATAATCTCAGGAGCCAATTTCCATGAACTGATCAAGAAATTGAAATCTTCTTCTAAAATTCCATATTCGACTTTGGACAAAAATCCTCTGAAACGAAAATAGAATCAAAAATAAATGGAACAACAGAGATATCAATCAATCAATCAATCGAAAATTCAAATTCGAAATGAGGAAATAAAAAGTTCTTACTTGTTCTTCAAATGTTCGACAAATATTTGCTTCGCACCAAAGATCGATCTCTCTGAGATCACATGAGCATCTTGAATTTTAGACGCTTCATCGTGCATCTTAATTAGAGACAAACTGATCGCCTTTTGAAACGTAAATGACCAGCGTTTCGGGTCATTGTACATGGCCGATAATAAATTATCTCCATGGTAACATTGCCATTTCTTAATTGGTTCCGAAAATACTCTTACCTTGGATCCATAGAGTTCCCTCATCGTTTCGAGCAAAGTTGTTTTTCCGACACCAATATTTCCCTCGACAATTATCTGAATCACGGAAAGAAATCAGGTAAAACGATCAGTTGATTGTTTCCATTAATTGTGATCAGTGAAAACTTACATGAACCATTTTCCCCTGTTTTCTAATTGTATGATTATGAGATGAGACCAAATTTCAACACAAATTAAACATAATTTCAAATTCAAATTAAAGAGGAAAATCAATTGGTATAAAAATCTCACTTCAACTAATTGTTGTTGTTAATTGTTTTATAACAATGAATGTGTTTGATTTTATATTATTCACAGTTAAGGATAACTTGGAAATCTAATTGTTGTTTAATTTAATCCAAGATAATTTTTTGTTGTTGTTTTGGTTTAAAAAGGTTAATTTGAATCGATTGGTTTTTTTTTGTTTTGTTTTATTGATTTTGTTTTAATTTTTGTGTCTAATTAAAGACTTGATTGATTGGGTTGATGTTGAAATTGGTTTTGTAAAGGTGAAGGGAATGAAGAGGAATAGGTAACATTTTTGTATAAGCTTACAATTCAAATGTATGTGTGTGTTTGTGTATGTGTTGAGGTGAAGGAGGAGGAGAGGAGGAAAAGATACAGAAAGAGAGAGAGAGAGGAGAGGATTTACTTGAGAATCAGCTGATTGAAGTCAAGAAGAAAATGATTTCTAGGATGAAATAAACATTAAGTTCTGAGCAGACTCAGGGAATTGTATGAATATGTTTTGATGGATTTTTGTGGATGTTGGTGTTTTGTTTGATTCGTTTTTGTTTTAACATCTTCTGAGCATAATTGTTGGAAAAAAAAAAGTTTTCATAATTAGGTAAAAAATTAAATAGTTGGCAAATTAACATTCAACATGCTTCTTATATTTCTATTAATGAGAGTCTATCCTGTTGCAGGTTGTGGTTCTTGATGGGCCTCTGGTTGTAGTTGATTTACTGGTTCGTCAGCTTTTTCGTTCTCAGTTGCTTCCGTCGTTGTTGTCTCTTCTTTTGATTTAACTTCTTCATCTTCTTCTTTTGTTGATTTTAATTCTTCTGAAGAATTTTGTACGATTTCATCATTCTTTTCTTCTACCTTTTCTTTCAATTCCTCTGTAGCCATCTCACTTTTTTCGCCGACTTCTTTAGTCTCATCTTCTTTTTGAATTGAATCGGCGATTTCTTGATCTTGAATGGGTTCATCTTTCATTTTCTCTGCTTCTTCTGTGACAATTATTTGATTTTCTTCGCCAGTTTCGACAGTCTTTTCCATTTGAGGTTCTTGATCCTTTATAAGATGAACTTCTTGGTTTTCTGTGACATTTTCTTCCTCTTCAATTGATTCTTTCACCTCGTTATCAATATCTCTTACTTCTGTCTGGGTGACTTCTGTTTCTTTCTCTAGTTCTTGTTTTACTTCCCCCTCTGATTCTGGTTCTGGTTGTAGTTCTGGTTGTAGTTCTGGTTCTGGTTTTACCACTGGTTCTGGTTCTGATTCTTCAGTTACCTTTACAGGCTCATCTTGAATAGCATTTTCTGCCATGACTTCTTTATCCTTCTCCTCAGTTATTTGGTCCTCTGTAGAATCAATTTCCATATTTTCGATTTCATCTTTGACTGGTGATTGATCTTTATTATTTTCCTCTACATCATCAATTTTGTCTGATTCAATCACTTTTTCATGCTTAGTTTCAATGACTGATGATGAATCGATATCATCTTGATGATTTGTATCGCCATTTTCTTTGATTTCTTTTGTAGATTCGGATGTTTTTGCCAATTCATTTGATGAGGAAATTTCATCGGAAGATAAATGTTCATAACAGACTTGAAGACCTTTATCATTTTGGTTGAGTAGATCGTCACCATGATCATTACAGAAGGAGGTTGGACACATGTCACAGAATTTTGTTGAGGCTTTACCACATGTCTCCATATCACAGTGATGCCAAGGGCAGAACCACACACCACGAGGTAATTTTGTTAATTTTAGGCAAGGTAAATGATATGATTTAGGACATTTACGTTTATCACACATAACCAGTTCACCTCCTTCTCTACATTTAAAACATTCATCCTCATGGAAGCTTTCAAACTCTTTTTTATGAAGATTTTTAGGCTTTGGTTTGGGTTTTATTTTATCGTTTTTAGTTTGCTTCTTACTAGATTCTTCATCCGGTATTTTATTTGGTCGAACCCCGAGAAAACCACTGCAGTTTTTAGCACCACAATTACAGGCTGTTTTCTCATTACCTCGACAGTGAAGATTATAATTGAAAGTTAGCTCAGCACCTTAGAAAATAAAAATTAAAAATTAGTCCATATTCGAAAAATGAAAATAACACAAAAGCAACAAAAAGATTATTATATCTACCTTGAGGTATATCTTGAATGGCAAATAAACCAACTCGGGTAATACCACCAACGACCCATTTTTGTGTCTCACAGTTTGGTGAACAAGAATGATTCATGAAACGAGCAAGATTACCTTTAGGTCCAGCGTCAATAATTGTATCTCGGTCAATTGTAAGGAAATAAAAATTGGGTTCATGCTTTTCAATCATATTCTTAATTCTGTTTTCACATTCAGCCTCATCGATAAGCTCGCCAACATATTCAATAACAAAGGTTCCCTTCTTTATATCTTGAAGAGCTTTAAGGCCCCAGCCACGACTTTCCGTCTTAAAAGGTTGCACTTTAGCATATTCTCGTTTACGGAATCGACGATTTTGACATTTATCTCCAGCATTACACCGAACAGGATCACATTCAATTAATGTTAATCTATTGAAACAATCTTCATCTACACCACAAGGATGTTCAGCATCAGATTTACATTGACAAACAATAGGTTCAGTGTCATGGTCTTCACTGGGAGATACTTTAGGAGCTTTACCAACTCTTTTGTTTACCTAATAATTAATAAAATACAAAATAAACAATTAGATTATCGTAATTGAAAATTGATTGATCAGCATTTGAAGTTAGATGATAAACATACCCTCAAGTATACATATGAAGGTGGTTTGATTTTACGATTTAAAGCATTTTTTCTGGCCTCTTGCCATGATGTGAAAGCTTCGATAGCCTCAGAAATAGCTATAAACAAAGGAGAAATGAAAAAAAAGTACATTAATTAAACGAGTTGCAAAATGTTTATTAAAGTCTCGATGAAATATTTACCCTTTCTAAAGTCTTTCTTGGCATTTTTACCAAGAGCTGGAGCTTTGGTTAGGTCTCCTTCAACGAAAGGGAAAGCTTTGCCTCGATGGATCCAATAGTAATCATGACTTCCAAAAAAGTAAACAGGAAATTCACCCACAGAATGAGATAAAGCCATAACATTGTCAGGACAATTTTTAGGATGACAAACTTTACTAGGCCACCAACGGTGAGGACCCAATTTAACCCAAACAATATCGTTATAATGTAATTGTTTACGAACCACACAATCACCACAGAAAAAGTTACCCTCAGGTAAAGGCGTTTCCAAACAAGCTTGATGAAAAGCTGATGGACATCGTTCACAGCAGATTAAACTACCTCCTGAAAAAAAAGAAACAAAAATGTTAAAAGTTATAAAACTTGACCACAATACAAAAGATGACGCTAAAAATACTGACCTGAATTACAAGAGAAACACCAGTTAACATTTATATGTTTATGGGCTGGAATATGCTCAGGACAGATAATATATGAAAATGAAATAGTTATACTTCCAGCGGATAAACAATCATCAGTTAAATGATAGGCAGTAGGACATTTAAGGCATTTAAGGAGACGCTTTTTCATATAACTATGAATTTGGTCATCTTGGTGTTCAACATAACAGGTAAGACAAGAATGTAATGGACAAATAAATCCTTCATTATTTTCATCTTTTATCATCTTATGGGGATAACCATTTTGTAAACATTTAAGGTGATAAAATTTACCACACTTAGAATCAGAACATTTTTTAACATCAGAAGAATGAGAATCACAAATGAAACAAGAATGAGAATCTGATTAGGAAGAGAGAGAAAAAAGATTAGATTAGTTAAGTTGATTGATAAAATTGATTTAAAAAGACAAAGATGATAATATAATCACAATTTTACTAACCTGATGAACACTCTTGACATTGTAATGTTTCACTATTAAAGGTTTTCGGTAAACAATTGTTGTGATAATATTTGAGACAAAGTCCAGAGCATTGGATGTAATTTTCAAGAGCTTCCTCATTACACTTTTCACAGACACGATCATTAAGCTCACGATTTTCATTGGCCTCAATTTCACTGAGAGAAGAAGCATCTTCACTTGTTCGTGTCTCCTCTGATTCAACTGAATCAATTTGATGAACAACAGATTTACGTTTACTAGAAGTAGTTGAATTATTTTTCTCTTTCTCTTTATCATTCTCTTTATTATTTTTGTACTGATCTGTTTGTTTTTCCATCATATCGACATCTTTTGTTTCCTTTTGTTTTCCCTTTCCTTTAGTTTTTTCTTGAGATTTGGGAGTCTTTTCTTTTTCCGTTGATTGACCATTTTCTTTGATTGTTGATTTTCTGGGTCGTTTGGGTTTCTCAGAAGTAGCTGCTGATTTATCGACTGGAGTTGATGAAGGTCGTTTCCTGGGTGAAGATGATTCTTTCACTTCATCTTTAACTTTACTTTTACTTGGTGTTGACTTAATTAGAGTACCTTCTGACTTAATTGAAGAATCCTTTTCTTCCTTGGGTGTACGATTTGATCTACTTGATTTAGGTGTTGTTTTCGGTGGTTTAACCTCTTTAGGACTTTTAATTATTTCCGTTGACTTGGCTGAACGTTTAACAGATCCATCGGTTTCACCTTTTGATCTGCGGCTTTTCTTTGGAGTTGTCATATCAGCGATAACAAGTGCACTTTCATTTTCACTGACATTTCCATTACCTTCGACCATTGAAACATCACCATTACTTTGATTCGCTGGTTTCACTGTAACATCATTTTTCCGTTTCCTTCCTCTTGGCGATTTTTCATTCTCTGGCTTTTTACCATTGGAGGTTTTCTTCTTGCTAATCGGAGTTTTATCTTCTTCACCATTTACTTCACGAATACAGTATTTAGCCTTCAAATCATCTGACATATTATTCCAGCGAGTTTTCAACATATGTTCAATTTCACTTTCACTTGAATCGGGATTTTCTTCCATAACTTTAGATCGTGTTTGTGTAACATAGATATCATAGTCTCCTTTTCTGTTAGCTCGCTTTGCACTCCATAAGCATAATGTGGGTGATGTTCCTTCATCGTCAAAATCTTCATCTCCATCACTAAAATCGTAAACGTTCAATGGATTTTCAGGTTTCTTATTTTTCTTCGCTGATTTTGGTGTTTTAACATCATCTTTACTTGTTGGGGATTTTTCATCTTTAACCCTAATATAAACAAAGGTTAGCTCTTTGATACGTTTCTCCCGGTCTAATTTAAGCGCTTCTTCTGCTTCATCACATGCAAATTTCCATTCTTTCTTGAAACTTGGTTTGATAACAAGTCTGTTTAAGGCTTGTTTTCTAAGAGCTTTTTGTGTACCAGGGGTGTTCTTAATTCTGTCTATTTCAAGGTCGTACTTTTCACGTCCCTCAAAAGGCATCGTCGATCCTGGTGAGGTATAACTTCTGAGAGCTTTAGATCCAAAATATTGAACGTGGTATAAAGGTTTGTCAGTGCTTGCTGTAGATGATAAGGAAAATAAAACAGAGAATAAAATAAAAATAAAAAATCAATTAATGAGAAAAATATGATGAAAAGAAACAGAGAAACCATTTGGCGGGTAAACGTAACTTGATACCCAATAATTAGAGAACGAGGGTCAATCTTTCTGATGAAAATGGTATAATAGAATTACGGATAATAGGTAAGACCAATAAATGTTGAGAAAATAAAAGATTTCAAATTTTTTCAGTCATTTGAAAATATAAAAGAGAAAATTCAAGTTAGAAATTGAACTTGAATGTTACCCCCGGTTAACATGTACAGGAGAGAAAGGGAGAGAATAAAGAGAGAGTGGAATTGACTAGAACATGTTGACATACCACCGAGTTTTGAATATTTGCCAGTGTAAGGATCTATTGTAATCATGCAAGGCCACCACGGGTAACCTGAAACTTTAGACCAGATAATATCGCCAACATAAAGATCGGAACCTTCATTCTCGGGTAATCTGGTTAAAATATCCCGATTGGTAGTAACATCGTCATCACATGGGGGTAGATAGACTATCTTTTTACCATCCGATGTGGTGGGTTGATTGTTTAGTAATTTTTTGGATGAGGATGAATTTACACTGTTTGAAGTTGGTGAAGAAGATGATGATCCAGTTGATGAACGATTTTTTGTACCTTGTCTTGGACGGTTTTTGACTGCTGATAAAGGAGTAGTAGGCCCTGATTTAGGATCATTATTGTTACCATTAGAAGAGGCAGAACGTAATGATGAATTTCTTTTAATTAGACGTAATTTAAGGCCAGATGGAGATGATGTTGATGAATAAGCATCTTCGGCAACGGGATCACCATCAGGTCGACTTAAAGAGAAGCTAGTGTCAAGTGAAACACTTTCCTCTTCCATGTTTGATAAACTCTTCAATAAGATGGTTGATGCTGACAAAAAGCAATGATGATGATGATGATGATGATGAATATGATTCTGGGGTAATGGTAATTAGCCTTTTCGTTCCAATAATAATTATCGATGATTCTCTTCTACAGGTTGGAAATGGTTCACTTTTTGAGGTTAAATTGTGAATATACACCAGACACTATTGTAAGGTAAAAGAGAAAGAGTAAGAGACAGAGATGAAGAGAGAAAGAGAAAGAGAGAAAATAAAAAAAAAAAACCCAACAAACAAGAAGAGGAAAAAAAGAAAGAGAGAAAATTAAACCGCACTTAATGAAGATGCAAAAGAAACACCATTGCTGAGATTAGAATGCGAAAAAATAACAATACCATAGACACATATAGACTATGTAGAGATTATTAAAATAATAATCATGATTAAAATGTTCTCAATAGAGACAAGAAGGTAAAAAGGTAAAGAGGGAGAAACAAATACACAAGAAGAATTGACAAAAAAATAAAATGTCTCTTCCAACTAAAGAGAGAAAAAGAAAGAGAGATGAAAAAAGAAAGAAAAAAAAGGGACCTTACATATATTTAGAATTTAAATTGTTTCCAATTAAGATTAACCATTGATTTTGTTTCCATTCCATTAATTAAGTGATCAGCTAACAAAGAGAAAGTGAAAATTAAAACAATTAAGTCAATTAAACATCGAAAGATTGATGAGAAAAATGGTCGATGTTTAAATTCTGTTGCCGGTTAGGCCTTCAAATAGAATAGAAAGAGAAACAGAGAGAGAAAAAAGAAAGAAAATCAATGTGATTCTTTTCTCTTTCTTTTTTGTTCTTTTCTCTTTTCCTTTGATATCCAATGAGCGCGATTTCGATGTTGACCCATGGCCTTTCTCTTTAACATTTTCTTTTTTTTATTCCATGTGCTTAATTGTTTTCATCTTCTCTTCTATTGATTGATTGAAATGATTTAGTGGTAAACGAATGAAAATTCAATTCAAAAGGTAAGAATTCATTTTGTATTGGTGATGTTTTCTATGTAAGAATAACAATAAATTGATCAATTCTTTTTTTCTCTGGTTATTTAGTCAATTGAGTTGGTGAATTTGTGCCAAATGGAATCATGTTTATCGATTAGAATGTGGTGTTTTGTTGTGGTCGAGAATTAATCGCGTTAATTGTGGCTGATAATCTATTTGAGAGTAGATTTTGGTTCCCCTGTTTGAATTATTCCAACTATGGTTGATTTGAAAAAGTGGAGATTTAAGTTGGACTTTCATACTTTTTTTTACAAATCTATTGGCAGATGAACAATTAAGTTTGATTCTTTTGGTCTATTGACTATCTCATCGGAATCAATTTTCGTTTGCAACTCTCACGAGAATCTCGATCATTCGATGATTGGATTTATCGTCTCATCGTTTAATGGTCTTTAATTGTGACCATTAAAGGTGACGATATTCCATTCGTTCCAGAAAAATTACCTTAAAAACACTTAATTGGTAACATGGTCGATTTGGAGCCATTTCAAAGATGAACTTGGTGTTTCCAAACAATTTACCATGAAAAAAATTCAATACTAATCTTAATCAAGGTTTAAAAGGCTAATGACTTTATTAAGCATTTGCTTATTGGTAAAATTATTAAAACAATCTTGACTATTTTTCTATCATTAGAATGTAAAATTGATTTGGCAAATTAATTGTATAAAAATTTAGCAAATTGAAAGCAATTGTTTGGCCTTAAGACTTGGATTGTATCGTTTGTTTTTAAATGTTGGATGAAATCATTTCGTCGTTTTTTGGTTTATGGCTTTTTGGTTAATCAACGGACGGGAACTGTTGGTCGAGATGACAAGGTTGTTGATCTTTGTGGCGCAATTGTGGCTAATTCATTGACCGTTGAATGAACTTTGTTAATCATATCGAGAACTTCATTAGTTAATTTACTTGCACCAACCGGTCCATCTCCTTGAGCGATCATTGTCACTTTGTTGCACTGAGCTAAAGGAGCAGCGATTTCGGCAGCCACCTAATTAAAAAAAAAGAGAGAGAGAGAGAGTGATAAGAAAACATCGATTTAGACTCGAAGTGAGAAACAATTGAAATTTGACAATTTACCCGAGGAAGTGTTTCTAGAATCATATCGATTTTAGCAGCATTTTCATATTCCTTGTAAGCATTTGCTTTCTTTGCCATTTGTTCAGCTTCCGCTTTCGCTCTCGCCTCAATCGCAAATGCTTCCGCTTCACCTCGTAATTTAATCGCCTGAGCCTCGATGATTGGATTTATCGTCTCATGATTACAATTAATCTTTACACTTTACTCTTATTGATAGTTAACTGGTTTAGTTATAATTAAATCACCGTTACTTGATTAGTTGAATCATTTGGATGTTGTCAAGTGAAAATCAATAAAATGATTAAATTGTTTCAACGGGGAAAAAGTTTGCATTTAATTGATTACAGTGAATTTTTGATTAACTAAAACAATTAGATTTGGAAATTATAACTTTTTTTTTTGATTATAATCAAGATGATGATTATCATGCTCGTTTCAATTGATACAATTTGATTGATTTAAATATTAGATGGATTTTGTTTCCTCTTCGTAAATTGTATTGATTAGTTAATTGGATTTAAGCTCGATTATGTTTGACTGTGAAGTAATTTGTTAATTAGTAATTTAATAAATTAATTTCTGAGCTTCTGATTATAAAAAAAATGATGCATTTTTTTTGCTGTACAAACAATTAAATTGATTCATTAATGATGGTGATGTCGGTCTAATCACAACTAATTAATTTTATCTTGGTGGGGAGGAAATTAACTAAATCATCAATGTAAAATATTGGTCATTGCTAAGTCGATTAGTAAATCATCAGTGGTTAATATTATATCACAGTTAATAGAGATGTAAATTATGAAGATGATGATGGTTAGTTGATTGTCGAGGATTTCAGCTCTCTGAAGGATTTTAATTGTAAAGGGTTAATTTTGTGACTTTGGAATAATTTGATTGATGAAAACAAAAATATAAAGCTAATTATTTCTAATTGTTGATTGAATTGTTCGCTGGGTTAATTTAAATATATGAATATTTATCAATGATAAGGCTGTGAATCTGGTTAATTGTTGACTTTGTTTTGTTGGTAGATGAAGTTGATTAAGTTGTTGCGTTAAATTTGGTCCATAGGTTGAATTTTGTTAATTAATTGACTTCTAGTTAATATAAAAAAAAGGGGTTTAATTAGAATTGTTAATTGCGATTATCTGTTTAAGTTGTTTGATTACAGTGTCGACCAATTTTTTCTTGTCTCTCTCATTTTTCTTGAATGAAGTGAATATGTTACGATTCCCATCGGTTTCTTTAATTTTTTCCAACAAATTAAGAGCAATTTGAGGATTAACTCGTGAATATTTACTTCCTTGTTTACCATAATCAGCAATATAAGTTGACCATTGCCAGGAAAGCAGTAGGTCAACTAATTGTCGTAACTCAGTGAAACATAATTGTAAAACATTGTCCTCGAATCCTTTAACGGGCTCAGAGGAGGCGAAAAATTCACATTGCAGTAGGTCAAGATTAAATTGTTCTAAGGCTCCCATTGAGATTGATTTAACATCTTCGTCAAGGAGAGAGTTCATCAGGGATGAGGCCATGTGTTTACAGGCCGAATGACAGGCCGTTTGTGCAATTTTGTCCGGTAAATTGGTTAGCGCTTGAAAAGTTGTGGTCAAAAATTTGAGCAAATCGGTTATGTAGGATGAGGCCACTCCTAATGGTTCAACTAGACTCCAATCATAATGAGCGATATCAAAAAATTCATCTATCTTTTGATTCAATAAGAAGTAGATTTGTGACTCAGCATCGGATCGAGCATCTTTGAACATTGAACTTCCTTGTAGTTTGGCAAGATGAGAGGTTCCAACTAGCTCACTTAGATTGGCCATCGATGATGAAGATGATAAATTTTGAGAGGATGATTGTGAATTCTGATTGATAACTGGCTGAGAGATGTACTCTTCAAGATGACACATTGATGATTCAAGATAATTAGTGTTGATTGCTATTTGGATTAATTGTAGAAGGCCAAGACCTGGTTTTTTGATTAGAAGAGAAAGACAACCTGAAAGGGTTCGAGTTAGTAATAAGTTGGTCGATTTTCGAACCATATCTTCAATTTCGGTTGAGCTGATATTCAAATCTTGGGAAAATTGTCGACAAGCGTTAATGAAACGTTTCACTTGGACGAAAACTTTAGGCACGAATGAAGAGAAAGGAAACTTTTTCGGAAAATCGCTTCCTTTTGGTCCAATGGAAATAATTTCGCTCTCAAAGTAAGGAAAATCAGCCAGAATTTCACTTAATTGAATTGAACTATTCACTTGTAATGGATAATTGTCAGAATCAAAAATAGAACGAAAAATTGAGCACCATTGTTTCATTAGAATCTCATTGTATTGATCACGAATCTCAATGAGAAGGTTAAAAAGTGGATTAACAGTATAACCATAACTTTGAAGAGTTTGACTAAATAATATGATGATCTGTTTGATCTGAAGCATCAAAACCTCATCGGTACAATAGGAGGAATAAGTTCGAAGAGCGGCAATCACTGATTGTAAAGCGTTTTCCCAAACCTCGTTAAGATAACTTTTGGTCACCAAACCAGAAGCGGTATTATAAATGTGATTCTCGATGACGAAAAATCCAACAACTCCGCAAAAGTAATTCTTGTAACCTTCAATATTTTCGTGCATATTTGTCGGTGATTGAAGGACAAGTTTGGCCTGATGTTGCCGTTGTTGCCGATAATATGTTTCAAAAAGTTCGGATGCACCAAGGCAGCCAAAAATGTGTAAACATCGGTAAACCGGTGAAAAGTCAATAATATCTGTCCCTTTAAGTTCATCTTCGGCAATTGCATTTACATCAAAATCTGAATCGGTATCGTTAATTTGATCAAGAATATCTTCCATTGATGAAGATAGAGGTGGTTTAGGTGCTAATTTCTTTTTCCTTGGTGTACCCAAATTGGTTGAAATTTTGTTCGAAACTGGAGTTTTATTTACATTGGTTCCAATCTCGTCCATTGATGAATTGATTGAGATAATTGTAGTATTCTTATTGTTACTATTTTCAAGTTCCAAGGTGTTAACTTTGGATGGATCATCGTTAGTATTGAAAAGAGAATCTTCAATATTCTGTTGATGAGCAGCATTTTTCATGGCGATTTCACCAATTTTGGAGGAATTTTTTCTCACATTTTCCAGGAAATCTTTTAAATCGGACATTGATGCTTCCTTGATTTCTTCTCGTATCTGTGGTATTTTATCCCTCATGGCTTGAGCGAAACGGTAATTGGCCACTCGAGGTAAATAATTGGTTTCCAATTGTTCTAAAGTTTTTAAAGCAGGATAGTAACGAGTTGCATCCATTTGGGAAGTTAATTTGGTGTAAGTTTTCAATACTGGTAAACAAACACTAAGATATTCAATGGCTGTTTCTATGTTACAAACAATCTTCCGGTGTCTTATTAACTCTTCAGCTTTACGTTGAACATTTTCAGCTGATTTTTGTATATCTTGATTAATATCGATAATCTCTTGTCGTAATTGATCAGCTTTAGGGCGAACCTGGAGAAGATCATGGATACAATCAACAAAATCTTGATAATTAGCATTACACATTCGTTCAATGTCTTTGTCATGGCTTTTAATTCTAGCATCCAATTTATCCATAAAATCATCATATTGATCACCAACGGTTCTGTTACTGTTCAGTGTAATTATAATCATGAGATAAAGAGAAAGAGAAAAGGATTTAGATTAAAACTACTAGTTAATAAAAGAGAAAACGTCAACATTATCAATAATGAAGAAGAAAAAAAAAGAAAATCATCTTCAAATGTCACCGTTTTATGAAAGATTCCGAAAGCTTCAAGTTAATACAAAAAGCTACTTTGAAAATCTTTGCACAAGACACATTGAAAAAGTAATAAAATTTACTCACCAAGCAGAAAGTAAAGGAGAGAGAAAACAATTTAATTATCAATTTACCTGAAAACAAGGCTAAGGGAAGAGGAATCATTTGATTCCAATTCAATGAGTAAATGATCACATCCATTTAATTTAGATGAAGAGAGTAAACTAGAATCAACAATTGAAGTTGTTGTTGTTTTATACGTTGATTCTTTCAAACCATTCATAGTTTTTTTTCTAAGGCACAACAAAATTTATCTCTTTCCAATCAAATGTTTAACAAACAATTAAAATAAAACAAAATAATCAAATGAAAAGAAGAAGAAAAACAAATTAAATTAATGAAGAAAAAATCAATAATCATCACTTTTACAGTAGAAACAAACTTGAGGGCGTAAATAGAAAACGATTGGAACGACATCTGTTGAGTGGCGAATCTACTAAAATTAGAAAATCGCTAATTAACTGAACGAATTGTAATTAATTGCAATTAATAAGATACTCACACACACCTCACCATCATTTCAAGTGGAAAATTAATCTAATTGTTTATTTGATTGTTGATAATCTTTGTCGATTGATTAACACGATAAATAGTTCTCTCTTATTGTTTTTGATTAGTTTTCATGAAAACTTTTATCTTGAAATCATATCATCTCGCGATTATATCTTGAAGAGCTTTAAGGCCCCAGCCACGACTTTCCGTCTTAAAAGGTTGCACTTTAGCATATTCTCGTTTACGGAATCGACGATTTTGACATTTATCTCCAGCATTACACCGAACAGGATCACATTCAATTAATGTTAATCTATTGAAACAATCTTCATCTACACCACAAGGATGTTCAGCATCAGATTTACATTGACAAACAATAGGTTCAGTGTCATGGTCTTCGCTGGGAGATACTTTAGAGCTTACCAACTTTTGTTTACCTAATAATTAATAAAATACAAAATAAACAATTAGATTATCGTAATTGAAAATTGATTGATCAGCATTTGAAGTTAGATGATAACATACCTCAAGTATACATATGAAGGTGGTTTGATTTTACGATTTAAAGCATTTTTCCTCTTCATGATGTGAAAGCTTCGATAGCCTCAGAAATAGCTATAAACAAAGGAGAAAAAAAAAGTACATTAATTAAACGAGTTGCAAAATGTTTAAAGTCTCGATGAAATATTTACCTTTCTAAAGTCTTTCTTGGCATTTTACCAAGAGCTGGAGCTTTGTTAGGTCTCCTTCAACAGGAAAGCTTTGCCTCGATGGATCCAATAGTAATCATGACTTCCAAAAAAGTAAACAGGAAATTCACCCACAGAATGAGATAAAGCCATAACATTGTCAGGACAATTTTTAGGATGACAAACTTTACTAGGCCACCAACGGTGAGGACCCAATTTAACCCAAACAATATCGTTATAATGTAATTGTTTACGAACCACACAATCACCACAGAAAAAGTTACCCTCAGGTAAAGGCGTTTCCAAACAAGCTTGATGAAAAGCTGATGGGCATCGTTCACAGCAGATTAAACTACCTCCTGAAAAAAAAGAAACAAAATTAAAAGTTATAAAACTTGACCATAACAAAAGATGACGCTAAAAATACTGACCTGAATTAGAAACACCAGTTAACATTTATATGTTTATGGGCTGGAATATGCTCAGGACAGATAATATATGAAATGAAATAGTTATACTTCCAGCGGATAAACAATCATCAGTTAAATGATAGGCAGTAGGACATTTAAGGCATTTAAGGAGACGCTTTTCATAACTATGAATTTGGTCATCTTGGTGTTCAACATAACAGGTAAAGAAAGTAATGGACAAATAAATCCTTCATTATTCATCTTTTATCATCTTATGGGATAACCATTTTGTAAACATTTAAGGTGATAAATTCACACTTAGAATCAGAACATTTTTAACATCGGAAGAATGAGAATCACAAATGAAACAAGAATGAGAATCTGATTAGGAAGAGAGAAAAGATTAGATTAGTTAAGTTGATTGATAAAATTGATTTAAAAAGACAGATGATAATATAATCACAATTTTACTAACCTGATGAACACTTGACATTGTAATGTTTCACTATTAAAGGTTTTCGGTAAACAATTGTTGTGATAATATTTGAGACAAAGTCCAGAGCATTGGATGTAATTTTCAAGATTCCTCATTACACTTTTCACAGACACGATCATTAAGCTCACGATTTTCATTGGCCTCAATTTCACTGAGAGAAGAAGTCTTCACTTGTTCGTGTCTCTCTGATTCAACTGAATCAATTTGATGAACAACAGATTTACGTTTACTAGAAGTAGTTGAATTATTTTTCTCTTTCTCTTTATCATTCTCTTTATTATTTTTGTACTGATCTGTTTGTTTTTCCATCATATCGATATCTTTTGTTTCCTTTTGTTTTCCCTTTCCTTTAGTTTTTTCTTGAGATTTGGGAGTCTTTTCTTTTTCCGTTGATTGACCATTTTCTTTGATTGTTGATTTTCTGGGTCGTTTGGGTTTCTCAGAAGTAGCTGCTGATTTATCGACTGGAGATGAAGGTCGTTTCCTGGGTATGATTCTTTCACTTCATCTTTAACTTTACTTTACTTGGTGTTGACTTAATTAGAGTACCTTCTGACTTAATTGAAGAATCCTTTCCTTGGGTGTACGATTTGATCTACTTGATTTAGGTGTTGTTTCGGTGGTTTAACCTCTTTAGGACTTTTAATTATTTCCGTTGACTTGGCTGAACGTTTAACAGATCCATCGGTTTCACCTTTTGATCTGCGGTTTCTTTGGAGTTATATCAGCGATAATAAGCTTCATTTTCACTGACATTTTATTACCTTCGACCATTGAAACATCACCATTACTTTGATTCATGGTTCTTTAACAACATCATTTTTCCGTTTCCTTCCTCTTAAGGATTTTTCATCTCTGGCTTTTACCATTGATTTCTTCTTACATCGGAGTTTCATCTTCTTCACCATTTACTTACGAATACAGTATTTAGCCTTCAAATCATCTGACATATATTCCAGTTGAGTTTTCAACATATGTCAAATTCACTTTCACTTAATCGGATTCATAACTTTAGATCGTTGTGTAACATAGATATCATAGTCTCCTTTCGTTAGCTGCTTTGCACTACAGTAATGTGGGTGATGTTCCTTCATCTCAAAATTCTCATCTCCATCACTAAAATTGTAAACGTCTATTGATTGAGGTTTTCTTATTTTCTTCGATTATGGTGTTTTAACATCATTCTTTACTTGTTGAGATTTTCAATTAACTTTAATATACCCCGGTTAACATGTACAGGAGAGAAAGAGAATAAAGAGAGAATGGAATTGACTAGAACATGTTGACATACCACCGAGTTTTGAATATCCAGTGTAAGGATCTAATGTAATCATGCAAGGCCACCACGGGTAACCTGAAACTTTAGACCAGATAATATCGCCAACATAAAGATCGGAACCTTCATTCTCGGGTAATCTGGTTAAAATATCCCGATTGGTAGTAACATCGTCATCACATGGGGGTAGATAGACTATCTTTTTACCATCCGATGTGGTGGGTTGATTGTTTAGTAATTTTTTGGATGAGGATGAATTTACACTGTTTGAAGTTGGTGAAGAAGATGATGATCAGTTGATGAACGATTTTTGTACCTTGTCTTGGACGGTTTTGACTGCTGATAAAGGTAGTAGGCCCTGATTTAGGATCATTATTGTTACCATTAGAAGAGGCAGAACGTGTATGAATTTCTTTAATTAGACGTAATTTAAGGCCAGATGGAGATGATGTTGAATAAGCATCTTCGGCAACGGGATCACCATCAGGTCGACTTAAAGAAGCTAGTGTCAAGTGAAACACTTTCCTCTTCCATGTTTGATAAACTCTTCAATAAGATGGTTGATGCTGACAAAAGCAATGATGATGATGATGAATGATAATGTTCTGGGGTAATGGTAATTAGCCTCGTTCCAATAATAATTATCGATGATTCTCTTCTACAGGTTGGAAATGGTTCACTTTTGAGGTTAGTGAATATACACAGACACTATTGTAAGGTAAAGAAAGAGTAAGAGACAGAGATGAAGAGAAGAAAGAGAAAATAAAAAATAAAAACCCAACAAACAAGAAGAGGAAAAAAGAGAGAAAAAAGAGAAAATTAAACCACTAATGAAGATGCAAAAGAAACACCATTGCTGAGATTAGAATGCAAAAAAATAACAATACCATAGACACATATAGACTATGTAGAGATTATTAAAATAATAATCATGATTAAAATAATTCTCAATAGAGACAAGAAGGTAAAAAGGTAAAGAGGGAGAAACAAATACACAAGAAGAATTGACAAAAAAATAAAATGTCTCTTCCAACTAAAGAGAGAAAAAGAAAGAAAAAAAAGGGACCTTACATATATTTAGAATTTAAATTGTTTCCAATTAAGATTAACCATTGATTTTGTTTCCATTCCATTAATTAAGTGATCAGCTAACAAAGAGAAAGTGAAAATTAAAACAATTAAGTCAATTAAACATCGAAAGATTGATGAGAAAAATGGTCGATGTTTAAATTCTGTTGCCGGTTAGGCCTTCAAATAGAATAGAAGAGAAACAGAGAGAGAAAAAAGAAAGAAAATCAATGTGATTCTTTTCTCTTTCTTTTTTGTTCTTTTCTCTTTTCCTTTGATATCCAATGAGCGCGATTTCGATGTTGACCCGCGGCCTTTTCTCTTTAACATTTTCTTTTCTTTTTTTTTATTCCATGTGCTTGGTTAATTGTTTTCTTCATCTTCTCTTCTATTGATTGATTGAAATGATTTAGTGGTAAACGAATGAAAATTCAATTCAAAAGGTAAGAATTCATTTTGTATTGGTGATGTTTTCTATGTAAGAATAACAATAAATTGATCAATTCTTTTTTTCTCTGGTTATTTAGTCAATTGAGTTGGTGAATTTGTGCCAAATGGAATCATGTTTATCGATTAGAATGTGGTGTTTTGTTGTGGTCGAGAATTAATCGCGTTAATTGTGGCTGATAATCTATTTGAGAGTAGATTTTGGTTCCCCTGTTTGAATTATTCCAACTATGGTTGATTTGAAAATGTGGAGATTTAAGTTGGACTTTCATACTTTTTTTTACAAATCTATTGGCAGATGAACAATTAAGTTTGATTCTTTTGGTCTATTGACTATCTCATCGGAATCAATTTTCGTTTGCAACTCTCACGAGAATCTCGATCATTCGATGATTGGATTTATCGTCTCATCGTTTAATGGTCTTTAATTGTGACCATTAAAGGTGACGATATTCCATTCGTTCCAGAAAAATTACCTTAAAAACACTTAATTGGTAACATGGTCGATTTGGAGCCATTTCAAAGATGAACTTGGTGTTTCCAAACAATTTACCATGAAAAAAATTCAATACTAATCTTAATCAAGGTTTAAAAGGCTAATGACTTTATTAAGCATTTGCTTATTGGTAAAATTATTAAAACAATCTTGACTATTTTTCTATCATTAGAATGTAAAATTGATTTGGCAAATTAATTGTATAAAAATTTAGCAAATTGAAAGCAATTGTTTGGCCTTAAGACTTGGATTGTATCGTTTGTTTCTAAATGTTGGATGAAATCATTTCGTCGTTTTTTGGTTTATGGCTTTTTGGTTAATCAACGGACGGGAACTGTTGGTCGAGATGACAAGGTTGTTGATCTTTGTGGCGCAATTGTGGCTAATTCATTGACCGTTGAATGAACTTTGTTAATCATATCGAGAACTTCATTAGTTAATTTACTTGCACCAACCGGTCCATCTCCTTGAGCGATCATTGTCACTTTGTTGCACTGAGCCAAAGGAGCAGCGATTTCGGCAGCCACCTAATTAAAAAGAGAGAGATAAGAAAACATCGATTTAGACTCGAAGTGAGAAACAATTGAAATTTGACAATTTACCCGAGGAAGTGTTTCTAGAATCATATCGATTTTAGCAGCATTTTCATATTCCTTGTAAGCATTTGCTTTCTTTGCCATTTGTTCAGCTTCCGCTTTGGCTCTCGCCTCAATCGCAAATGCTTCCGCTTCACCTCGTAATTTAATCGCCTGAGCCTCAGCTTCAGCTTCGGCGATTAACTTGAGTTTATGAGCTTCGGCAAGTTTAGCCACTTTATATGCCTCAGCTTCGGCCGGTTTTTTCACAATGGCTTCCAACTCTTTTTCTCGGCGTTTGATTTCCTGTTCCTGTATTTCAATCTCTGAATTTCTTTCAACAACCAACACCTCCATTTGATTTTCTTTGATGTATTTCTTTGTCTTTGCCGATTGAATGTCAAAGGCCAAATCAGATTCCGCTTTTTTGGTGAAAACTTCATTATCATAAGCTGCTTTTTTCAGTTCAAAATCTTTCTGGGCTTTGGCAATTTCCGTATCATTCAAGTATTTGGAAGCCATTTTTTCCTCTTCCGCTTCAGCCTCTTTTATCAGGGAATCTCGCTGAGCTTCAGCTTCACCGATTCGAGCATCTCTTTTCACCTCAGCGGTTCGAGCCATTCCTAATGCCTTAAGATAACCTTCTTCATCACTTATATCCTTTATCGTATAAGAAACAATGGTAAATCCCATGTCGATCAGATCGGAAGACGCAACATCGAACACTTTTTTCGAAAACCTTTTACGATTCTTATAAATGTCTTCAACAGTCAGAGAAGCCATGATGGCTCTTTGATGTCCCTCCAAAGTTTCACGAGCCACATTAATTATATCCTGTTCCGATCGACCCATAAATTGTTCACATGCAGATCGTAACATGTCAAGATTTTGTCCTTGTATTTTCACCTGAGCAACACCAGTCACCGAAATGGGAACACCTTGTTGAGTGTAAACACGAGGACTTTCAATGGTCAATGTCATGGTATTCAGGGAAAGCCTAGAATTTGACGATAAACAAAGAGAAGAGAACAAGTTGAAAATGAAAAGAATAGAAGAAAAAATTCCATAGGAAATAAAATTTGTTCCAATTGATGGAAAAGTACAAAGAGACCAACTCACTTTTGAACCTGCTGAATTAAGGGCCAAACAAAGACTCGGCCACCAGCAACCATGAGAGGCCTAGAATGGCAACAACCTAATCGAAAACATCAACCCAATTAGTAAATCAATCAAAAAAATTGAACAAAAAAAGAACATTAAAAATCAATAAGAAGATTTTATTTCAAATCTTCAACTTCATTGAGCGAAAATGAACTTACCGGATACGACAAGAGCTTCATTGGGACCACAGGTTATGAATCCAGGCATATTTAAATAAGTGAATTGTTGTCCTGGTTAATTAAAAAGATAAATTAAAAACTAAATTGTTTGGAAAACAAATTGGGTCGAACTGTCAGAAAATCTCTTGCTAGTGTTTACCTATGGGAGAAGCAAAGACTAACCAATGGGAGCAAAAAGAATCGTCGCCATGGTTACTTGAATTTTCTTTTTCTTTTTCGTTTTAATTGTTCCAATTTCTTTTCACTTTTGGATTGTTAATTAGTCGATTAGCTGATTAACTGTAGTATTTTCTATCTCAATTGAAAATCATTATCTTGTTATTTGGTTGATTTTTGCATCTTTTAGATAGAATAACAATTGAGAATTGTGTAAGTTGATTCATTCAATTTTTATTTTTTCTTTCACAATTAAGGTTCAATTGTTTGATTACATTAATTAATTGTTCATTTTGATTTGGTTATTGACAAACAATCAGTTTGAGAAGCAACAAAATCAAGTATTTCTTTGTGTAAAGGTAAACTTGATGGGATCAAATGATTAACTAATTTATTAACTTGATTGGAAATTTTTTCCAAATCAAGACTAATTGTTGACATTGTTGATGATGATGATGATTGTGGTGGTGATTTTTGAATATTGGAATGATATTGATGACAGCAAACCAGAACAATTAGTAATCCATTTAAAACGTTGATATCGAAAGATCCGGACGAAGAGGCTTTTACAACTTCGAGATATTTTTTACTAAATTCATATGATTTACGAAATTTACCTAATTTAAGGTAACAATTAATCAACTTGTGATACAATTTACCCATTTCGGTGTGAGTTTTGTAAAGAAAAACAGACAATCCAGTGTAAACCTCAATCAATAGTTTCTCGGTAACCTTTAACCTCGGTATTTCATCACAATCAGGTGAACGATTTTCCGAATCATAATTAATCAAACCAAAAAATGCTTCAGTTTGTGACATAATTGATTGTACATCAAGATGATCTTTAGCACCACAATCAAGGCAAACAATTGATCCATCACAAATAACGGGACCTGAACAAGTTGGACAATTAAAAGCTTTACTCAATGGCTGTAATCCAGTTACACAAGCCTCACAGGCACAATCAAAGTAATATGATGATTTGAGTAATTGTTTCCGTCGAGAGGCCAATTGATATTTATAATGAACACCATAAGAATTAAGTATTTCTTCACCTGATTTAATGTCCCTAATTGCGATCATTTTAAGTGAATTATCATGGAACCAGGCTAAATGTATATTAGGAATACAAGAGTGATTAAGGTAACGGAAAGTTAAATAAAGGCCACAACCAATTTCGATCTCGTTAATTTGTGGTATTCCAATTTTATCGGCGAGATTAATTGTCCAATCTTTTGAATGGTCAATCAGTCGATCTTGGATTGCGATTGCATTGACTATAGTTGATCGAAAATGTTTAACAATTAATTCACTTAATAAAGAAATCGAGTCATCAGGTATCTCCTTTTTAACGATATCCTTTAGGTAGATTATTATTTTCATGGTGAAATATTTGTAATCATTTGAATCTTCTGGATGTTCAACCAGTGAATAAATTGATTGATACAATTGGTTAATTGAATTGCTGGCTAATTGTGTTGACGATGATGACGATGTTTCGTTTGTTATTGTTGTTGATTGTTTTTTCTTCTTCTTTTTCTTTTTCTTTGATTTATCAAATTCACTTGATTCATTTTCTTCAAGTGAAGTTATTGTTGGTGTAATCGTTGATTTTTCGGTCTCGATATTGTCCGATTTTGATTGTTGTTGTTGATCACGATGATATTTAAGACAATCAATTGGTCCACAAATGAGTAATACTCGTAAGACAATTTTGGGCACGTAATGAAAAGCTTTGGTAAAGATGAAATAATCAAGGTAACAACATTCACCAGAATGATATTGATTCCAACTGATTGATGAGCAATTGGTTGAACAAAATGAAACCTGATTACAATTACGACATGGAAAAGGTTGACAATTAAGTAACTTGAAACAATGGTAACAATATTTATCATAATATTCCGGTGAAAGTATACCAATTGCTGATCTCTCCTCAAGAATTGTTGATCCACAATTAATTGAATCAATCGCTCTAATACCATAACCACCTTTACTTTTAATTTGAGTGATTTCAACAGCATTGGATAAATAATTTGGCTTAAAATTAACATCACATGTTGGTAAATTGTTGTTGTCTTTTAAAGTTTCGTTAGTATTTGATTTCCTTTCTTCATTTGATTTACTGTTGGTTGTATTTTCTTTTAATGGTGATTGCAATTTATTCAAACAATCAGCCTTACGTTTTAGCACTTTATCAGCTTTTTCAACTGGATAACCATGACTGAAGGCACAATCAATATCGATCAAACAATCAGCGTAACGATTTAAATGATAGAGAGCTGCTGATCTATTAGCGAATGCAAAGTAAAGTTCATTGGAACCAAATGGAGCTGTTGAAATCGCCTATGATATAAGAGAAAGATGAGAACAATTAATTCCAATGGTTTTATGAGAATTAAGAGAATGGACTATGGAAATTGAACAATTAACTTACTTGATTGTAATACGATAATGATTGATTGTATCTTCCTTTGATGAAATCGTTGTTTCCATTTTTTCGATAACAAGATGATTTTTCCAAATTCTTATTGTACTTAATCTCGTATGAAGAGATCTCCTTACGAACTAATTCCGTTAGATATGGAGCCATTTTCACTACTCGTCTGAGGAAAATTTCTCAATACCATTTCACCATCATTTAGATCTCCCTTAGATCATCATCATCATCTCTCCCTCTCTCATTCTCTACCAGATATTTCTATTCAGATATAAACAGACAGAGGAAATTTTCAGACCAAAATAGCGACATGAAAATTAGAGAGAGAGAGAGAGAGAGAGAGGAGACAGAGTAATAAGATCGGAGGATGATAAGTAGGTTTGACTTGGCTCAAATTCATGGTAATATCTTTAACAATTATCTCCTCATCTTCATCACCACAGCAATTGAATAATCTTCATCTCTAGTCCATTTTTAGACACAAAAGAGATTCCTCCTTGATGATTAAATTTGCTCCATGAGAATTTTTCTTCTTCTCCTCTTAACCATCCATACTATGTCATCCAAGTAAAAGAATTGTTCCATCCATGATGAGTTTCCAAAAACTCCATCCGGTCAAATCTAACAACCAATTAACTAAAACAAACGAACAAAAAAAATCAAATCAAATAAAATCAAAGGAAAACAAAACAATCACCTTACCTTTTTTTCACCGGTTACATTTTCTAATGAAAATTTGCTCCTACAAAACGACAAACCATCTCTTCAAAGACAAGAAGGAGAAATTAATCAGATAAACAGTAAATCAAATTTCGAGAGAAAAAGAAAAAAAATCAATTAGAATCACAATTAGAATCAAATTAAAATGATTAGATTTTCCAATCAACAGTTTCGAAAAAGAATAAAAAAAATCTCTACAAATAGGACAATCGGCTATTCTCACTGAAGAAAAAAAGACAACAAGGATTTTCTTTCTGATCGGTGTTTTTTTTTGTTCCAATTTACAAATTACTCTAAATTTATTCTAATTTCTTCATAATTAAGTCAATTAATCTCATCGTCAGTTGATTATCTCTTTTCTATAGATCACCGGTTAGAAGAAACAATAGACTGAGTAAGTAATTAGAGTTAATTGTTTTCTATTTACCTCTTGAAATATATTCTATTCTTCAAGCATGTTTTTTTTTAATTCTCTTTTTCTTAATTAATGGATTTTCTTTTTATCTCTCACCTTTTCTTTTAGATTAGATAGTCCGTTTGTTCGTGTTTTTCACCTAAGTAACATGATTTATCTCTGCTGATTTAACTAGTAATCGATAATCAAGATGTTCTCATTTGGAGAAAATGTATTTGGTGAACTATTTCGCTCTTCATCATCAACTGCCTCTTCTGCTTGTGTCAGTTTCCAAGCCATTTGTGCCATGTTAACCTTAATTCCAATTCTAATAGTATTTTCAAGTGGACCTAAGGTGGTCTTAGCTAATCAAGAATTAACTGTCTATCGTATGAAACACCACGATTGGCTGGGAAATCCTTATGGATCAAGAGCTTCGGTGATGAACTTGGAGATGAGAACGATATCAACTCTATCACAAAGCTATGCAAAAAAGTGTCTTCTAATCAGAATTAGCGAAATAATTAAATCATCGGAAACATTTGAAGATCTTTTAAAGAATCCAATGGTTGGTGGAATGTTGATCTTAGTTCCCAACAATTTAACCAATTTGGGTTCAAAAGTTCGTTCATCCATCTTGGCATTTGAGAAAACACTGGCTTCTCGTACATTCGATATTCCAATTTATTTTGGTAAAGAAAATTCTAATCTAATGGATATTTATCAAGAATTATCACTTAAATCGGATAATGTTAATGATGAACATCAGGGGAAGAAAAAATTTTTTGGTGTTGACTTTTTCAATGCTGTTCTCGCCAATGGTTACCAGTTATCGATTTCTGGTCCATCACCTAAACCGATCACTGATCCCATAATAACCAACATTGAATCTAAATTAACTGGAAGTAAAAGTGATGATCAATCACCGACAATTGTGATCGCTGCTCATTATGATGCTTCAGGAATTGCCTCAGGTCTTTCATATGGCGGTGATTCAAATGGAAGTGGAGTTGTCGCTCTACTTGAACTGATCAGACTTTTCTCTAAACTTTATAATAATCGTAAAAGTCAACCTGCCGTTAATTTGGTCTTTCTACTTTCGGGTGGTGGTAAATTTGGCTTTCTTGGTACCAAAAAATGGATCGAAGATCATTTAGACGTTAAAGAATCTGGTCTATTATCTGATGCCCAATTATCGATTTGTCTTGATTCCCTTGGTTCATCAACCACCTCATCTAAATCACTTTTCCTTCATTTACCCAGAATTCCAAAGGAAACCTCAATCACCCACCGATTGTATCATCAACTCAACGAGATCGCAACCAGTAAAGGTGCCGATGTTTCATTTGTCCCAGAAAAAACTTATCTCTCAGATGAATCACTAAATTGGGAACATGATCGATTCATCCAACGTCGTTTACCCTCTTTAACATTATCCACACTTCAAAATTCCAAGACCCTTAGTCGAACCAGTATTCTGGACACTTACGAAAGTGTCGATATTGACACTCTTTCGACAAACATTGAAATAATCGGTGAAACTTTGTCACGTTTAGTTTTCAACATTCGAAATCATTCAAGTTCTAGTATTTTCAAAGACGAACTTGGTGTTTCCAAACAATTTATCAGTTCCATGTTGAAACAGATCACATCCACCTCTCGGAGTCAACAAAATTTACTCACCTCATTAACCGGATCAACTTACAAGGTGTCCCCATTAATTTCCACCCTTTTCATGGCAATGAAACGATTTAGCAAAGATACTCGATATCAACATTTCCGAATGGACCGGAAAGAGCCTGAGATTGTTTTCTATGAACCAACACAATTAGCGACAAACATTTACAACATTAAACCAGCAATTTTTGACCTTTTCCTATCACTGGGAATAGTCTCTTACCTGTTGATTCTTTACCTATTCCTAACCAATTTCGAGACCATTCAGATGATAATTAAATCAATCAAATGTTCAGCAATCAAATCAACTGAAAACGGAACTTTATTAACCAAGTCCAAGTCTCAATGATTCAAGTTACAATTTAAATTAGCTTAAAGAGTAAACACAATTGTAACTCTTTCGATCAATAATAATATAATGTATCAATTTTTATATCTAACCAATTAAACTCTTATTTACAACCAGACAAAAAAGAAACAAATTAAATCGATTATCAATCATCATTATGATTCTTAGAATAAAAAAATGCTCGATAAATAGACTTATGGGCTATTCTCACGAAAGAAAAAAAGACAACAAGGATTCACTTTCTCATCTCTTAATGAGATGATCTTTGTCTCTTGTTTTCTTTTTAATTCTTAATCAATAATCTTAATTTAAATTAATTTTAATTTCTTTAATTAAGTGATTGATCTTATTGGCAAAATCTTATTTCTTAAATTATCAAAAGTTTAATTCGAAAGGAAGAAAAAATCGAGTAAGTAACAAGGGAAAATATTTTCTTCTTTTCATCTCTTCAGCTTTTTAAATCCAAATTTTTTTTTCTTTTCTCTTTTTTTTAGTTCTTATTGATTTTCTATGATTGAAATTTTTTCTCTATCTCTCTTTCTCTTTGCTTAATCTTTCATTAATTTATTCAAGAGATAACTTTGGCGATTGTTATTCTTTATCTACTGTTAAAAGCTAATCAATTGAACCGAGTAAATTGTTTGAAGATGAAAAGATTACAAACAGAAAATACCCAATTTATAGTGTAATTGTCATCGTAAGCACTCAAGTAATCGACTTGTAGTGATAAGATTATTCTCTTTTTTATCTTACCAATGAGAAATTTTATTTATCTATTTGTGTTCCTAAAATATCTAAACACAATTAGTTAAATATAGTCTCAATCAAACCTAATCACCTTGAGGAAAGTTCATTCCTCATTCTGATAGACAGAAAATTGAAGAAAATTCTTTCATTTTCTACCAAGTAACAAGCCCCTCACACTTAATTCAATACTCGTGGTTGTTTGATTAAAATTGTTACAATTTCAATTGAATGAGCCACGAAATCATCTTAAACAATCAACACAATCTAAATTGCAACAATTTAAATTGCTAATCCATCACATGTAATAACCACTGGCTATTAATTAGCACGAGTGTTGCGCCCTCAAGCCTTTTCCATCTCAAGCTTATTGTTTTCTTTTCACTTAAATTTTTGCTCCTCTTGTTAAAAGAACACCAATCAAATTTAATTTTAATTGTTTGCTGATAACTAATCTTAACCTCTTCTTGTAAGCTAATATTTCATCTTCATTTGCTCTCTCTCTCTCTCCTTCATCTTCCTCTCTCTTCCTCTCTTAAATCATCTCTATTCTAATCATCTTCCATTTTCAACCTTGCTCTTTGTTTTCACATTTTCACTTTCTCTCTCACCTTTGTTTTCATTTGTTCTCTTTGTCTCTCTCTCTCTCTTTATCTCGTCTCCTTAATAGATTTATATATCTCTCTCTCTCTCACACACAGTTTGGTGATATTTCTTGTATTTTAGAGAAACTGTTCAATCCACAAATTGTTCCTCTGGTTATTTATTGAATGATCGAATGAGGGACTTACAATCATCTAATAACAATACCAGTAACTCTTCAAGATTCAGAGTATTTCCTACCATGGGTACGTAATCCTTTATCTCTCTCACCCCATAATCATTTTTGCTATCTTATGATTTAGTCATTCGATTGGTTAATTTTTTTTTATTTCATTGCCCTCGGGTTATAATTTACTTTTGAAATATTTATCTCCCTCTATTGCTCTTTTTCATCATTACCTTTTTTCTCTCTTACTCACTTGCTCACTCACATTCTCTTTCCACTTTTTTCCTTTTGGTTTCACCTCCATCTTTGTTATTTATCTCATAATATTTATCTTTTTTTTCTGTCTCTTTTTGTTCTCTCTGTCGTTTTCTCACTACTCTGTCTATTTCTGTTTCTAATTTTATTTTCTTGATTTTCCTTTGTTTCTCTCCCTCTCTCTCACTCGCAGTTGTTAATTAATCATCAATTGCTCTTTAATTTTTATGATTTTCCCTTGATCTCTTTCTCTTTTTTTCTCATCTTTCTTTTTCTATTGACTTGTTAACCTTTGGGAAAACGAGAATCATTTTCCTCGTTTTTTTTCGCTGCCATTGATTCTCATTAATTCTCATTTTTAATCATCATTTTAATTTTCTCTCTAGCAACATCTCACAGAAGAGCTCAAGCCTCTCTGATGCCATCAAGTCAAAGTATAAGCCTATTACCAGTAACCAAATTCAGTCACCTATGGACGATCAAGAATTTCAGTTATATTCCAAGTGACACAGAATTTATATGCTGCCCCAATTTTTCACCTCCGGCATCAAAGGACAAATGGTTCATGAAATTGAGACCGAAAACATTGGATGAAACATCCGGTATTGAATACATTGGAATTCATCTATTTTTAAGGTACAGTGGTTGTTATATTGAGCCTTATCTCTCTCTCTCTCTCCCTCGGATATTAGTTATAACAAGAGTACAAAAATAACCAAGTCATCGTATTAACACAACTCAGAGTGTATTGGATTTCTCGCCCTTGTTGCTTTAATTAATCTCAAGAGAGAGAAAATGAGAGAGTTTGTGTGTGTGTTTATTTTGTGTCTTATTCCTTGATGAGATAGCTCTTGATCTCGTTTATTTATCTTCAAAATTATCTTCATTGGTCATCTACTTGTGCTTAATGACTTGGGTCATTTTTTTTATCTATTTGCACATTTTCTTATATTTTCAACAGGATTAATTTCAACTATTGAGCTAAATTAAGCCTACGTTTCTAATCGCACTTTATTTGTAAGAAAACACCTCACATGTTAATGTTGTCTCTCTCTCTCTATTATAGATTATCTAACTAGCTTTATTAATCTACTTTTGATCTAATCACGTGGAAATTTACCTTATTAGATCTCAAGTAGATTTAATTTTAATGTAGTTTATATGATAATTACGCACCAACATATACACACACATATGGTTTTACTGTGGTTGATCAGATGATCGTTTAAAGTTCAACCTTGTGATATCCTTTTTACTCATTGATTTTCTCATAATTTAAATTTTTTCTTTTTCTCTTTCAAAACAGATCATGTGAGGATAGGACAAAACAACAAGTTAGAGCTAAATATGTGATATCCGTTTTGGATGCTGAAGGTGATCCAAGATATACTGGTGAATGTAGTCGACATGAAGGAAGGATATTTAAAGCTGGAACAGAGGGTCATGGATACAAACTATTAGCACCAAGAGAATTACTTCTCAATCCAGCCAATAATATGCTTGGAACTGAAGATTCACTTCGTATTCTATGTGAAATCACCATGTTTGGTGAAGTAACTTCCTCCCTGGTTCCATGTCCTGACAATGAGCATATTGAGCTTACCTATCCAGAGGAAGCTTTAGCTCGACATTCAGTTACAAGTGACTTGGCCAATTTTTTTACCAATGGAGGTGAAAAGACGGACATTATTCTTGAAGGAAAAGATAAAGTTCAAGTTAAAGCTCATAAAATTATCTTGTCAATCAGATCAAAAGTGATTGGAGCCATGTTTTCACATGAAACCAAGGAAAAGGCTGAATCTAAAATTGAGATAAAAGATATTGATGGAGCCGTTTTAAGGGAGATGATTAATTTCATTTATACAGATAAAGTTGGTAATCTAGAAGAATATGCTTGTGACCTGTTAATCGCTGCGGACAAATATGATCTACCCAAGCTGAAAATGTTATGTGAACAATATTTAGCCTCTAAAGTTACTATTGAAACTTCAGGGGAAATTTTAGCTCTAGCAGATGCATGTAATAGTATTGAATTGAAGGATAAATGTTTGGAATTTGTGGTCAGAAATTCAGCTAAAATTGTCAATGCAGATTCATGGGATACTCAAGTGGGAAAAAGACCATCACTTTTTAAAGAAGCATTCGAGCTCATGGCAAAAAGACCAAGGCCCAATTAAACCACAACAATTAGAAAACTATAAATAAAACCAAAGGATTTTCCATCAATTACTATTTAGGAAAAAAAATAATCGGAAACGAGTTGTGCAATTTTCTTACAGCATAAAGTACAAGATGAAACGACATGAAAAGAAACACAAACAAAAGGAGTTTATGAGTAATTAATCATAACATTCAACAAAATGGAACATCAAATTAATCTACAGTTTCTCCTTTTCCTTTTTTCTCTTCAAAATCTCTTTCATTTTACAAGCTCTCTCTCTCTTTTTCCTTTAAATCATCTTTTCTATTTCTCTTTCTTTATTCTTAATCCTTTTCACTTAATCTTGTGCTCTGGTAAAAATTAACACAATGTTACATCTTACAAGAAGAACCAACTGACCGACCGCAAGTGATCCTGGTCTTGGTCATCATCCATCTATATTGTCGAGCTCAAATCGAAAATGGGCTTTTAATGTTCTGAAAAAAAACTATCCTATTTAATTCGCCATTTGTTCAACTTCCACCTCTTCTCTCTCTCTCTCTCTCTCTCTCTCACCACGTTTTCTCCTTTTTGGCCTTTGTTTACAAAGAAAAAAAAGCGATTCTTGCAAACGATTGTCGACCTTTTCGAAAACCATCTTATACATAACATACATCTCTACATATTATATATATTTCTATTTGTAAACCAACTACATCATTTTATGAATGGTATAAGCGCTTGTCCATTATGTTTTTTTTTCACTGTATAACTTTTTTCGACTCGTCTCCCTCTCCCTCTCTCCCTCTCTCACTCTCTCCCACCTTCGGCTACAATTGTTTCCTTTTCCTCCCCAAACAATGTTTGTGTTCTCTCCCTTCTCACTTTTCTTTTCTGCATCTTTCTTTCCTCTCTTTTACAGATTATTTCTCAATAAAGACTAGAGAAAGAAAAAGACAATTTAGCAATATAATTAACCTAATTGTTAACAATTTATTTCATTTTATTGCGATTTTACATTTTGTTTTGTTTTGGAAAACTTTTCAAAGGAAATTGTATTGATCTGAAATTTTGGATAATTTTTCAATTATCTTATCCTGAAGTGTCTCACGATCAACGTAATTTAATTTGCCCGATTCAATTGACTTAATTGCTTTATCAAGTAAATCGTTGGCTGATGTTAAAACCATCGGAATTGAAGGTAATCCATTGATCATTTCAATGACTGTTTCATTAACTGGTTTCCTAATTGTTGTTGGAGCTTCCATCTTGTTAAATCCTCCAGGTGAATGCATAAAATATGATGGATTGTGTTTAGCAATTAAATCAAAATCAAAGGCCAATCTCATTGGTTTAATCATTTCCTCCCATTCATCATAAAGGTGATACAAAACTGTTGACATTAATTTTTCCGTCTCATCGATTAATTCATGTTCCAAATCAAGGGAATCAAGATCCATTGATGGTCCATAATTAAGTCGACGTTTAAATACACGTTCAAGTTGCGCTTGTTTCACATTTGATTGGGAATCCAGTCGACGGACATTGTCCAGTACTTTTCTCATCAGGTCAAGTCCACCGCCGTTCGTGAAAGCGGCTAAAACGTAAGAAGCTTCAACCTCAGAAATACGAGGTTGACAATTAACTGATTGTGAAAAGAGAAAAACATTGATTAAAATGGAAAAGAATAAAATTCCAATCACTTGATACATATTTCAACAATTAACGTTAACTTTTGATGAAAGATACAAGTTAATTACTTGATAATAACAATTCAACTAATGAGAAGATCATTTTTTTTGTCTTGTTACCAAATAATCAATTTTCAAATTGTTGATGGTTTTTTTGTTATGTGGGTATGAAAATGATGAGGGTTACAACTCATTTACCTAATTAATTGAGTTTATAATTGATTAGGTATTCAATTAATTCATCTGATTGTTAATCAACAATTCAGTGTTTATTTGGTTGGGTGAATTGTAATATAAACAAGAGGTGAGAAAGGCTCAGGTAATCAATTGATTTAGAGATGGTAGGATAACAATCAGAGTGAATTAATTTAAATCATGATGGAAATTAATGTCACATCATGTATGGGTTATTGCTTATTACAGGGTGAACATGAAAATAGAAGATTAATTTAGTTGATTGATTAGATTTGTCCGACACTGAGTAGTTTACGTTTCTTTGCCGTATTCATGTAAGGTCGAAGTGTCCATTCAGTTTGAGCGATGTCTTCGTTTTCCAGAGTTCCAAGTTTAATTTGGTACAATTTCATCTCAAATCTTGGACCAGCTTCCGTTAATTCAATTTTACCGTCCACTTTTTTGTAAGTATGATGGCGAAATGAAATATAATCATCGACATTTGCAAAAGTGATTACTCTTTTACTATCTTCCTTTGGAACTGGGAATAAAAATTTCAATATATTGGTTATCCTTTTACCTAATTTTGAAGTTAATTCATGGAATATGAGATGTGGATAAGCTTCCGACATTTTATCAATCCCCTGGATATCATGTCTCATTACAACATTAGCCAATTGAAAGTAAGCAGTTGGACCAAAGGGAAGGTGAGAGATAATTAAACCATCAGGGCGACCACGAGTCTCATGGACAACAATAAAATCGGTTACATTGTTACTCCTACAGGCTTCAAATAACTTTTTAACATCATAATTACCACGATTGATTCTTTGAGAATTAGGAAAAAGTAGCTTCATCTCAGCGGCAAATTGTTTCAATCGTGAACTTGGATCACGTGAAGTTGTAATAACAATTTTGGGATCTTCGACACCAGCCCATCGATATTCATCATCTTCATGGCTTGTAACCTGTTCACCTCCATCATCATCTAAATCGGCAACTTTACTTAAAGAAATAGCACCACGTCTAAGCTCAGTTGGAATTGGTTCATTCGATTCCAAGGCTTCTCTAATTTTCTTCTTCTTCTCCTCTGAAGATCTTTTTTTTTCCTCAACCGATTTTCGGAATAAATATTCTCGCCTTAATCTCTGTTGTTGACGAATCATTTTCAAACTTCACCAACAATAGAACAATCAAGAAAACAATTATTAACCAAAAAGAATTCGAAAACAATCACAACAATTAAATTAATTTCAACGAAAACAAAATGAAACCAACATGTGAAAATTTCCACATTTAAATTAATCAGCTGAACGAAACTATCGATACATCGATCAACATGTTCGATTATCAATAGTGGAAAGAAAGAGAAAAGAACAAAAAAGAAAGAGAATAACCTGGCGCCATCTGTTGGTTGGAAATATTTCTAAAGAAATTGAAATTTTTCCATCAACTCTGAAAATCTAAATGTTTCCCCTTTCAAATCAATCACAGATTCTTAATTCATGTAAATTAAATTAACCAACAATCAAATCATCAACCTAAATATAAATTGTTAAGTGACATTCACACACATACACATCTAAAATATGATTACTTCGGAAGTGCATTAGTGATTATATCCGGTAAACAATTAAGTGTTGACTAAATGATTGGTGTTAATTAAGTTTTACAAAACAACAATAATAAAGTAACATTCAGATTGTAATGATTAGTGATTTGTTTTTATATTATTTTCGAGCCGATGAGACGATGTAACCATTTAGATAGATATATTTATCTTGGTGATTAACAACAATTAGAGAAAACCAAATAGAAATCAATTTGTGTTGTTACAAATTCCCAAAGGTTGAACCAGAAAAAAAAGAGAAAAGAAAATTTTTTTTTTCTATTGAGATAATTCTGGTTAATCTATTGTCAGAATTGTAAACTTCATCCATATTATCATCATTATTATTGTTTTATTATTTGATAATCTTCAACTTTTTCCTCAGCTTGTGTCTACGTGATTATCATTCCATATCATAAATATATGAATTCACCTTCACCAATTGAAATTATCAACATCATCCATGTTCCTGATTACTGGTTATAAATACTCAACTCTGAGATTTTTTTTTCTCTCTCACACTGAGGGTCAAAGGGAAAGAATAACAAAAGATAAAAGGAAACAAAAATAGTTACATGATTATTGAATCTATTGACTAGAAGTAAAAAGATGAGAGAGAGAAAAAACTTCACTCTCTCCATGTGATTACTCAAGTTCCCCACCCACTGAACTTTTCAGTTGACTTTTTATGTTGCTTGTGTTTCCCTTTGTCATTTCTTGAAAGTTTTTTTTTTCTCTCTCTCTCTCTCTCTCTCTCCTCTCTTGTAGTTATTGTCCATTGTCACCAGAAAGCCTTTGGTAATATTAAATAAATACTGGACATGATTGGACAACAGGGAGTGTGTTTAAAGGAAGTACAAAGAAATAATCTCACACCAACAAACAGATTCAGAATTGGAAGTTGATCAAAATTTTTGTCGTTTTCAAAGATAAAAAAAAACGTTGCAATTTTCATCTTCCATTGGTGACCATCATCATCATCATGGTCAATCATGATAACTTGACAGAGAAAAAGAAAGAAAAATATTTATTCTGTCTCTCCATATAATATATATTACTTTTCCATAGGAATACAAACTATTATCATCTTCATCTATCTGATCATCTGAAACTTTTTTCTCTCTCTCTCTTCTTATCCTTCATCATCATCATCATCATCATCATCATGAAGACAAAGTTTCAACGTGACTTGGATTATGTAGTTGAAACTTTTTCCTTTTCAATTCTATTTATTTTACTTTTTTTTTAGTTTTTATTTTCATTGTTTTCCCATGTTAACTATTCAATTTACAGGGTTCAATCATCTAACTGTATCTTTCCTTTCAGTTATCAGCATGATGATGATGATAATCATCAAGTATAACTTGAGATTCCAAGATTCAGCTTATGGGAGATGAAAATTGAACCCAAGAATTGTTGATGGATTCAGATTCAAATGTAATATACAAAATAGACATATTATTATTTATATAACATTTAAATTGGAATGAGAAAGAAGAAAAAATTTCCTCATTCAATATCATATATATCTTATGAGAATGGAAATGATTATCATGGATACTAATGATGATTAGAATTGTAATAATAATAACGATGATAATGATGCCCTGAAGGTTCAAACTAATCACAATTTTCATCCTGAAAATTGAAACACAAGAACATATATCAAATGATTGATAATGAAAAGAATTTACTTTTTCAAAACTTTGAGTTCACAAAAAGTTCTGACAAAAAAGTTGAGTAGAACTTTTTTTCCTCCTTCTCTTCAAGTAAATTATTATTTCGTATCATTATCATCATCATCATCATGTAATCATCATTTGTAAGCATAAAATGAATGATTTTGAACAATATTAATATTTAATTGCCGTTGGGTGACAACTAAATGATTTTCCAGTGGAAAAATTTCAACTTGATCGAAATGAAATCTAAATAAATATCATGATTATCGTTGAGATAATTTTCATGAATAACATTCATCCTGATCAATGAAAACTCAAGAATAACAATTAACTAGGATTAGTAATCAGCATCATGTTGATTGGGAATAAAAAAAAACTTTCAAACAATCAACCAACTTTAAAATACATGATCGTTGTAGGAGCAAATCTGATTTGTTGATTTAGTTTTCCTAATATCTAATCAATAAGTTTAATATTGTATTGAGAAAAAATCTCATTCATAATAATGATAACCGATATCATGGTGATTGTGAATGCTGAAATTGAAATGAAATTTGTTTGTTTCTTGTCAACTCATTGATTGGTTTTGTATTGAATGGGAAAAGATAATGTTTTTCACTGAGATGATGAGGATGAGGATGAAATTGTCTTTACCATTGTAGTTGTTGTTTATTGGGTCTAAACATTATTATCATTATTATTTTACTGTTTATCTGTTTCATTTCTATGCTTTTATGTGCCTCTTGTCAAATCAACCTGATCAATAGCAGCTCAATCCAATTATCTTTAACTGTTAATGGTTAAATTGACAGAAATAAAAATTCTCTGACTTTTCTTCCTCATCTCTTTCATTTGTATCACCATCATCATCACCATCATCATCCGCATCCTTTTCACATCTCACTCAATATATATAATAAGAAAAAAATTTTCTTCTCTTTTAGTAACAAAAGGATGACGATGAAAGAGACTGAGATGATGGAGATAAGTGAGAGATGAAGATGAAGATGCTAAGACTATGATGATGATGATGATGATGATGATGAGATTGAGAAGTAAGATTGATTATGAAGCTGTTGATTGGATGAGAATCAATGTTTCTTTTTTGTTGATCAATTAACTGATCAACGAAAGTTTAACTTGAATGTAAACATAGAAAATAGTTATCATCATGTCTTCTTGTATCATTCTTATCCATCTTCCTTCATCATCATCATCTACTCATATCTCATCTTATCATCATTCTTAGCACGTAGTCTTAGTAAACCCAAAATTTTATGGTTAATTTATGGTTCCTTAAGCACATTCACACCTCTTGTCAAATGAGCATGAGGCGAACTTATTTCCATGAAAAATTTATCATCGTCAGAACTTTTTTCAGCAGAGAAAATAAAACAAAATTAGACTCACACAAAGCTAGAAAACCAGTTGAAGATATTACATGAACAGATAACAGAATCATCATGATAATCAAATTCATGTATATGCAATGTGATACTCACCGATTTCAATATAATATATAAGGTGACAAATTGAACTGAAATTGTTTCTCTCTCGCTCTCTCGTGGTAAAAGTAATTGTAACAATCAATTTGCAATTTAAATTATTATCACTTGTCATTCATTAATATGATCTAAAAGAAAACAGTTGAAAAATCAATTGATGACAACAATTTATTATTTAAGTTACATAGTTACATGTTGATTATCACCATGATGATTACAATTAAAGTGATTATCATTAATAATCTGATAACCTGGATAAATAATGTTCATTGATTGATTATAATGATTAGAGTCTTCTTAATGATAATCAAGATACATAAATGGCTAATGGGTTTGATTATTATTATTATTATTAATCAATGGGAAAGGATGAAAATGGTTACAATTTGGTTTCTATCGGGTTAGTTGATTAGTTAATTTAGTTAATAAATGTTACATGTATTGATGAATGTGACTGATTTTTGTCTTTATCATATGGAAAAGGAAACTGTCTATTTACAGTCCATTTACTTGATCTTTGTGAAAGTAACAAACAATTTGATCTGCTTTTATGTATATATATCAATGGAAAGGGTAAAAAGAAAGTGGAAATAGAGAGAAACGTAAAGAGGAAACGGAAATGATGCTTGGATTGACACACGAGCAAGAGGAGGAGGAAGAAAGAGATGATGATGATGAAGGTGGAGGTTGAAAAGATAAAAGGAAAAAAAGATGAAGTAATAGATATAAAAACGATAGAAAATGTATTATAATTGATTGACAATTAATGGAAGCTAAAGTTCAATTCATTGGAATGGAAAATAACTTTATCATGGAATCAGAATCAGAATTACTCATGAGATAAAAGAAAGAGAAAATTTCTCTTTCTTTTATTCTAACAAGGAAACAGCTCATTATGATTTAACTGATTGTGTGTGTGTGTGTAGATGTTTAAATAACAGTAAATTTTGATTCGCTGATTTAGCAAAGTTATTGTATAAACAATTAAATTGGTAACTGTAATTATATTGGGACAGTTTGTGTTTAAATTGTGTGTCTTTCAATGTTTACACTCAATTGCAATTTAATTACAATTGATAAAAGTCCAACAATTGAAATGTTATACTCAACTTTGAGTGGGTGTAAAGTTCAATTTAATTACTGTCATCATCATTATTTAATTATTGTATCATCATCATCATCATTTCATGGTGATTAAGGATTGATTTGTTTTCCTTTTTCTCAATGATTGTTAGTTTTTATTTTGGAGTTCGTTTCAGTTTTGTTGACATTTGCATTCTTATTGTCATCAATATGATGACGATGATGATGGAAATGAAGATGAAGATAAGGATGAGGATGAAGATGAAAGTTTTGGTAAGATGGATGAGAAAAAGTAAATTGATTGGTTAACAATGGAAATCAAGAATCTCAATAACAGTAAACAGAGAAAGAGAGAGAGAGAGAGAGAGAGAGAGAGAGAGAGAGAGAGAGAGAGAGAGAGAGAGACTGATAGACTTAATCAATT